TCTACATTTGTCGTTGTCAGTTTTAATATTTCGAACATCGCGATGACACGACTGACGATAGATGGTTTACGGTGAAAGTAAGCACGAATTGTAGTAAAAGTAGTCTACGTAGAGCGAACCGAAAGGATAAAAACTAGCAAGCTAGGAATAGTTTAGATAACTTCCGCGAAAGAATACGAGGGAAATGATTCGAACGGAACGAGAAGCATGAAACGGGTATGCGATGGAACGGACTAACCAACGAAGACCTCGAGCATCGTTTGTTCAGAATTTCATTCGTTTCGTGGAAAAGACTGTTATGTAAATAGTGTACACCGATCGGTGATCCTTCCGAGGAATCTAGTGGAACTTGCACAACCTTATATTGTCATAACTAGATCTCGCAGATTTGTTACGCAACCGAAGAGGGAAACTGGTGCCCCACGTCGTCCTTTCTATCCTTGCGATCTAATCGATTCTCTCTTTCTATTCTCTTCGTGTCCTTGTTAACAATGTCCAGATACAATTACCAACACCGTTCGTACTTGTCCCAAATACACGTTGACAGTACTATCCCTGAAGAGAAGAGACAGAGAGAGAGAGAGAGAGAGAGAGAGTATACGTGACATTGGTGGAAAGAATCGGAAGATAAAAGGCTTTCACCAAATTTAAACGTCTAATGTAACGTCGTGCCTTTACATTTGAATATCAATTAGAGAAATTGGACAGATGAATTTTTCCAGTTGGTGCATTCGAAGGGAAACAAAGTCGACAGTTAACAGTTGGTACAATTCGTAGAATTTCATTACGTAAGGAAGAAAAATATTCCACGGAAGGTCCGCTGCTGCTGCTGCTGCTGCTGCTACTGCTACTATTAAAAACCAGACCTTTCGCGTTGTTTTGCCAAGTTACATAAGCGAAAGTTTAACACGAGCCGACAGAACGACAACAGAACGCGAGACAACGCGACACGAGGATTTATAGTTGTATATCGTAGGTGTACGGTGGTACACACCGTGCGAATCGAGAGGATGAAAAGAGAAAGCGAGAAAAAGGTGAGTACAAACCTGTTTGAGACAATAGCGGAAATACTTACTTCGATCCAAGTATTTACGTTTTGCTCTTATTAGCGACGCAAGATTGTAACAAACACTTACCTGTTTCGTTGAGAATTGCGGCTAGGTGTCGTGTTTCCAGTGACGTTGCCTCCATTGTTGCTAACGTTACGGGTATTGCGTTCATCGGCAGAGGTCCTGGGCAGTCTAGGACTTCCAGCGAACACGATACCCAGCAGGCATGTGGTGAATATTACAGATTCTCTCATGATCGACTATCGACGGATGATGGAAGGAATATGAAAGATGATAAGAAAGAATGTAAGAAAGAAGGTATCCCGGGAGAAAAAGGGAAGCACAGCACGAAGAAAAATACGCGATTTGAAAAATTCCACACGTACCCACCACGCACACTCCCGACGAAGATCACTTTTCGTTCGATTAGCTGTTCGCATACAAGTTTTTCTTCTTTTCTTTGAGCGAAACATCCATTTAGCGTTAATGCGAAGGTGGTAAAGGAAGGACACGAATGCACCCACGAGGCGCTTTTTTAAAAATGCGCCTTTTTTTAAAACGAACAACACTTGCTGACACCGATGTGAGTTGTCGCACAAATATCACTCGATGTCGAAAGACGTTTCTCTATAAATAATCATTCGTTTCGTTTAATTGACCGCTATACTTTAGGCTGTTTACGATAAGAATCGTTGACAAGGAGCCACTTGGTAGCACTTCGCTTCGTTAATCACGGCGTTGATATCGAAAATAAGATACGCCGGTTTCGCTCCCTTTAGTTTCCCTTTACGTAGGATCGGACAGCGGGTTCCAAGCCGACGACACACGTACGTATACATATATACACACACGTGAACGGTGTTAGATAGAGACACGCGGCTGGGCCCGTCGTTGGTTTTTCTTCGACCGACACCGACATTTGGTGGATAATGGGGATTCTTCGACGAGAAGAAAAAGGAAAACGTCAAGCGAGTGTATTAGCGGCGAAGCGAAGTGTATCGGTGTGCGGCACGGCGCGTCGTATCTTGGAGGTAACTTTCGCGAGAGGAAACTGACGGCTCGAAAAATGCAACGCGATGCGTCTTACGAGTGACGAAAAAGAAAACAAAAGGGGAAAGACGCGAACCGTTAAATTACACGTGCGTTGTTACTGTTGTTCTCTTTCAATGTCTCCTCTCTCTCTCTCTCTCTCTCTCTCTCTCTCTCTCTCTCTCTCTCTCTCTCTCTCTCTGTATACGACTATACACGCAGCTCGTTCGTTCGTTCGTGACGAATCTCTCCCTCTGTACTAAAACGCTCGTTCCCCGTTTCTCAGAGGGCGGTTCTTGATTCTTGGTAAGATCTGTTTCTCCAGGAACGTGCGTACGACACTTGTTCGATACGAATCGAGAGAGAGAGGAAGAGAAACAGGGGAAGAGAGTGTGTGCGTGAGTGAGAGAGAGAGAGAGAGGGGAGCCAGAAATTTCTGCCATATACGGCAGTCTGTCGGCGCGTTTCTCTCGTCCTTCCGTTCTTGGGCACTTTGTCCAGCGTTGTCGATCCCTTTTACTGAAACAACGAACGAAATATGTACACAGCAATGGTAGAACAGGGCTGTGCGCACAGCGGCGTATCTTAGTTCCGATGCGAACGACGAGACTACCGACACCATGAACCACCAACGAGTCTATACGATCACCGCTCAACTGTAAGAGTTACTTTCACGTACATACGTATCCGTGCTAAAAGAGTAGCCTATACTTCTCCCCACTGATCTACCGACCATTCTGGTCTCTTTCCGTCCTTTCCCCGTGTAAAACTGCGATCCGATCTGAAGCGATTCGATCCGTTCGAATTCGTTCTGTTCCGTTCCATTCCGTTCCGTTCCATTCCGTTCTGCTGCCATCTCTCTTCCCTTTCCTTTCTCTTCACACCACACGGCTCTCCTCTCTCTTCTCATCCCCCTACCTTATCGATCCTGTCTTGGGTACATACTTACGTACGCGTTCCTTCCCTTTCTCTCCCTACCGCTCCCTTTCCTTTCCCTCGCCCCCTTTTCTGATCGACATTGCCAGAGGTGACGAGAAACGAACGGGGATAATTCTAACAGCTAGAAAGAAAGGTGAAACAGTCCGGAATCGAAGATCTTTGCCGCATACTATCGCATAAATCTTAACCCCGATCGGTTACAATGGACAACGTTTGAAAATTTTCAGTGGCAATTCACCGTTGTGGAACAGTATGCGTGGTAGAACGGTACCTAATTCTTTTTATATCAACCGACTGAAGGCAATGCACGTGTTGCTCGTTTCAAGCTAAGTACAGAAACCTAAGAAATGTACCAAGAATATAATACGAAGAAACGTAGTACATATGTACAAAGCTTGCGGGAAATCGATATTTCGAGAACATTGCAATCGTACGTTCTAAGAGAACGTCTCAGACTTCTCGCCTTGATCGGGTATCAGTTCGATTGTTGATCGAGAAATGAGAACATACCTACTTGGTATTGCTGGGAAATGTGCATTCCATGATTATCAGGGCGCATCGATGTTAGATATGCGTTAAAATTCCAAAGACGATGTTGAGAACGGAGAAAAGGAAACGTACGTATAACCGAAAGAAAATGGAGCTAACGAAGAAAACGCGATAATAAGAGAGAAGGAGGGAGAGAGCGGAAAGAGAATATGCGATAGCTGTCAGCGGTTCGTTTATCGATTGGAATAGAGTCCCCGGAATGTTATGCGTAAGCTGGATAAACGTGGAAAAGTGGCATAAAAGCGAACAGAGCCCGTTTGGCACGTTGATCTACCACCGACCGACCGGTTAACCGGTCGCTTGTCCGTTCGCCAGTCAGTTACATATCTCGTTCTATCGGCCTTTCGCGACTGACCCTCCACTCCCCTCCTCCTCCTCCACCTCTTCCTTCTCGTTGCCCACCCACCGTTAAAAAAATTGCATAAAGTCAGGCTACACTCGGCGCTTCGTCGTCAACTACGAACTGCGAATTCTCTTGGAAATGTGTACCCGTACAGTTGTTAACGTGGATGAAAAAAAAAAAATGCCTTAAAAAGAGAAATACCCTTCTAAAAATAAAAAATAAATTTTAGTGCACGAAAAGCATAGAAACAAAAGCATAAAAATTCCTACTGTATTTCGTTTATTAATTACAACGAACGTGAAATTATTACGACAGAGAAAGTAAGAGAGGAAATCGAATAGACGTGTGAATAATTAGAAATAACTTGGAGATTTATTCAATTATATCGTGTTTACGCGCGTGCACGCGTATTCCCGACAGACGACACTGTAGTTGTATCCTTATATGCTTACACGAATTTCCAATATACAAAATAACGACTCTTCTTCTTCTTCTTCTTCTTCTTCTTCTTCTTCTTCTTCTTCTTCTTCTTCTTCTTCTTCTTCTTCTTCTTCTTCTTCTTCTTCTTCTTCTTCTTCTTCTTCTTCTTCTTCTTCTTCTTCTTCTTCTTCTTCTTCGTCAACTAAATAGAAAATTTCGATATATAATACCACGAATGCGGCCTATCGATACACTTCACCACTTCCTCAATAGTACGGTCTCCGTGGGTTATTCTGGAACAAACGAAATTTCGTACGTGCACGAAAGAACGGAGTTCGTTTGAATTGTTAAAAATTCTTACCAAGGGATTAGGCCTAAATCTATAAGCGAGCATCATCCTCTTTCTATAGGCGTCGAATTCGTCGTCGTCTCTGGATACACCATCCGGTCTTTCGGAACCTAAACCAGCACTGTCGAATCTATTGGTCGCTCTATAGAAAGGGAGAAGAATATCGTGCCGAACGTCGTGTTAAAGAGGATGATGAGCATTTACACTGAATATTTACCTAACTTTCGGATTACTCACTTATTAATAGGTTCGATGCGACCGTTACCTTCGCTGCCTAAACCTTGCCCTTCGCTCCAACCAAGTTTTTGCAACATCTGAAATCCTAAAGAATCGAACACGACGCGTTTTTATTCCTAGTTATCGAATTAATAGTCTGTGTAATGGACACGCACGCACGCACGCACACACACACACCCACACACACACACACCTATATTATCTTCTTTTAGCTTGTACTCTTTGTAATCGCTGAGATCGGGTTCTTTTCCCTGCTTGACCGCGTTATATTGTTCCATAAATTTTTTAAGTTCATCCGGCGGTAAGAAATCGCCGATATGATGTTTTCCTTCCGCTTGCGCCGTCAGCTCTTCCGCCCACATTTGAGTAGCCTCCATCTCGGCAGACCGAAGTTTGTGCTCCCAGGTACCACCCTCCGTTTCTTCGTCGCTGTCGTATTCGTATTTATGTTTTCCCTGTGCTTCCAAACGTCTTACTTCTTCCCTTTTTCTCAGCAGATTTTGATAAAGAAGATTTATCTGGGCGAGAGTGTTGCATTATTAAGATTATTAATGTGCAAAGTGGAAATTGTAACAGGCGATAGTTAACGGAGAAAAAGAGAAAGAGAAAAATCTATTAGGATACGGAATATTTGAAGGATGAACCAGTGTAATCACCTTGTAATGATCCTCCGCTTTTTTCCATTGTTCCTCGGTAAGATCCAACGTACCGAAAGTTTGTCGTGCGTACTGTATCAAGGCTGGATCGTTTCGCGAAATTTTCGTCAACATAGGATTCTTTGTTTCCGTACGCTGCTGCACCTTAGCTGATCGAATTATAACGGCCGGTTGTCCAATTTGCCCAGGAATCGCGATACCTGGCTGTGAGAAGCTGCTACTGCTTTGTTGTTGTTGTTGTTGTTGTTGTTGTTGTTGCTGCTGCTGCTGTTTGTTATGACAGGCTAATGTGTTTATTTCTGCTATATGCACCTTATTATCCGCATCACCCCAGCGACTACGCCTTTTTCGTTTACGTTCTTCTCTGTTGTTGTCCTCTTTAAACCGGTCTGTACTATAATTGTTCTCGCTCTCTCTCTCTCTTTTCCTTTCTGTTTCATTTCGGTTTCAACGTTCAACGAGAAGAAAATGAGATGAAAAGATTATGTAATTTCGTAATGATCAACGTACAGCATCTCGGTTCGAACACCGCACACGTACCTTGCGACGAAACATGTTTATTAGGTGTAACTGCTTGATCGCAATCCTCGTTATCGCTTAAAGCTTCTTCCGGACAGTAGGGTTCCGCGCCGCTGTTTTTACATTCCTTCGTGGATTTTTCTGCCCGAAACTTTGCCACCAACCCCCTGTACTGTAGATAGGCTGCACTTTGCTTTTGGTGCAGAAACCTTGATTAAAACAATACTTAAGACTCTGGCGAGTAACATAGTCTCCTAAATTAGATTCCTTTAGGTTAAAACTTAGAAAGAAAAATACAGATAGATAGATAGATAGATAGATAGATAGATAGATAGATAGATAGATAGATGGATAGATAGATAGAGATAGAGATAGAGATAGAGAGAGAGAGAGAGTGATAGCAGCAAACGGACAGACAGAGAAAAAGAAGAATGAAGCATTAGACGCGAATGACGGTTAGCCATTTTGGTACAACGCAACACGAATCGTCGAATTTGCAATTTTATTTACGGTCATATACGTTATAAGTTGCGAAATAATTTCGAAAAGAAACGTGGTACAGTACGTATCGTTGAATATTATCGATACCATTTTTCGTAACCCCCCCCGTTAAGTTACCGTACACGTATACGTATTGCAAAACATGTTGTTCGACCTAGGTAAAAAATTAGCATTACAGTAAAGGAAAAGTGAAAAATGGAAAATGAAAAACGAACGATAAGACGACGCGACGCGACAGGGCGGGAGGGGACGCGTTAAGACACGAGACGGGGACCAGTGAGGACAGTAGTTACCATAATTTAGGATCTTGGGCATTCTTCTCTCGCGCTTCCTGTTCGATTTCATCCCCACAGTCAGCGACGATGCGTGCCAGCTGCTCAGCCTCTACGGGACACACTTAGAAGCCTTTGTCAGACATGCGTAACAACGCTAAAAACTCTGGTTTTTGTTTTTGTTTCTGTAGCGTAGAACACGTATGTATTTGGTCTACACAAGACTCGATCCGCGCGAATTTTTGCTTTTGCACGTATTTCAGATTTTCCCACGCGAGTCTCTTATTTAGTTCGGCGTATCGCGCGCGCGCGCGCACGCACGCCCGCTTACATGCTCTTGTTGATTGAGTGAACAAGTAATCCATTTAAACAGCGAATAGGCTTGTTCTCTGCGTAAAGATCAAGACGCGGCGGCGATACGTCGAAACGAAGAAAAGAAATGAAAATATAATCGACATATCGTACCTAGCTGTTCAGAGGCTCGTAGACCGGACAATGGCCTCACCGGTGGTGGCACTTGTATGTTAGGTGGTCCCATAGGTACCTGAGTGACTTGATTAGGAAGAGGATAACTGGTCGGGAAGGAGGTGGTACGTTCGGTGGTGGGATGTTCAAATTTGGCGGTGGAATTGTATTTATACTGGACTGAACGGGGGGTGGAGTGGACATCATCACGGGCGGTATCACGTTCGGCGGTGGAACGTTTGGTACGTTGGACGCGTTCGGCACACTGACCACGATTGTCTGCGAGGCCGGGATGGACATAATATTCGGTGGCATTTGTGTCATCGCTGGTAACATGTTCGGGGGAGGGATATTTGGAGGCGGTAAATTTGTAGGCTGTAACGGTGTAGGAGGTGGCACACCGCACTGCCGTCCAGACGAAAGTACGTGCTGTTGTTGCGTGCTGGGTACCGAAGCCGAGCTTGACGATACCAACACCGTGGACGATAATGATGGTAATGGTAAAAGGGTCGACGGCGATGGCGATGACGACAACGGCAACGGCAACGACGACGTAGATGATGATGATGACGATGACGACGACGACGACAATAATGAGGAGGTTGCTGATGATGATGATGATGATGATGATGATGATGATGATGATGATGATGATGATGATGATGATGATGATGATGATGATGCCGACGACGACGACGACGACGTGGACGATAACGATAACGATGACGGCGATGAAGACGAGGTGAACGATGACGGAAGCTGTGGGGCTGTTGACGTCAATGAAGGCGAGCAGGACGAGGAGGAGGAGGAGGAAGTACAGGAGATTGCAGAGACGGAGCAAGAGGTTGAGGAGGAAGTACAGCAGGAAGAGGAAGAGGATGATAATGATAATAATGGCGGTGGCGACGATAGCAGTAAGGGGGACGTCTTTGAGGACGTTAACGACGTTAAGGACGACGAGGAAGATGACGGAGGTGCTAATGGAATTGGTGGAGGTGGTGGTGGTGGTAAACTTTGTAAATTAGGTGGCACCGTCCGAGAAATATGCATATTTGGCGGAGGTATGTTGGTATTTGGTGGAAGAGATTGCACTGAAGAAGGAGTTGGAGGTGGAGGTGGACGAATCGAATGCTGTGGTGATATTTGCATTCTTGGATCAGTGGCTCGGTCATCCAGGCCAGGGTAAGCATTGCACATACTTTTCGGAGGAGGCATTTTTGACAAATTTGGAGGAGGTACGTTGGTTACGATATTCCTTATGTTTGGCGGTGGTATGCCAGTGAGATGATGCATCATAGGCTGAGATGCGAGGGAAGGAATGGCAGATGGATTTCCATTTCGAGAAAGAAACTGTTGATGACCGTGTTGCGTACGCTGTCCATTCGGAGACACTTGATTAAACGAACGTCTGGCTTCTGGACTCTGAGAGGTTGGGCGTCTGGTAGGAGACGGACTGGAAGAAGAGCTGTGTCTTTTATCGGAACCCTTCTCCCAACGAGAATCTTCCCTTCTGCGGTCCCTTCTGTTCTCCCAATCTCTATTTCTGTCGTTATTTCTTCTTCGTTCCTTATCTTGTGTACTCTCCTTGACCCTTTCTTCTTTTTTCTCTTCAGATTTCAAAGGAAACATAGATTCTGCTTTCCCCGTTCCCTTGTTACTTGCAATTCTTTTGAACTGATCCAAAAAGCTACCGTCGTTGGCAAACAAATTAACAGTTTGCGATACTACTGGTTTCTCTTCTTCTTTTCTGCAATAACGCATAATCTTTCTGTAAGACATCGTCGAACCAGAATAGCAAATTGATAGGTAATTTGTTTTTCTTTTTTTTTTTACAAACAACTGTGTAACACAGGTGTTGAATAATATAATTTTACTGATTCGTTTGCATTGGTGAATTATTAGTTCAAATACCGTAGTGCAGTTTTAAAGCTGAACTGGTGTTGAAAATATTACTGCGATTAATACGGTACGTTATAATTTTATCGAGAAATTATCGTCGGTATTCTGACCTGAAGCGTTCCATTTGTCATTTCGTTCACGATAGAGATGTTGTGTAAATTAACGAACGAAGATTAACGTGGAATTACAGAGGAAAGGGAAGGGGAGGGAAACGTGGGAAATTTATTGCAAACTTTATATCGTATTCGCATCTGTAGATACTAATCTTGAAAACAATTCGAAACGTAAATTGTAGCTACTTACTTGGTAGAGTTAGCTTTATTTCCTATTAAATTCGGGGCTAATGCAGTTGTCTTTCTCAAATTTTCCACAGCTTCTTTCGCTTTTTGCTCCTGCATCTTCGCTTGTATCTCAAGTTTCTTCTGCTGAATAATCTGTTCTTGTTTTGACATTTGCGCGAAACGTTCATTTCGTGATGTTTTCGAAACGAATGGATCAGAACCTTTCACACCGCGATACGCCATATTTGTTATGTCGCAGACGACTCTCCACCAGACTCGACGATACCTCGACTTAAAGTCGACTAATAATTCTGGTATCGCCGTAGCAGCACTATCGCTCTAGCAGCAGCGCTAGCGTGGTTAAACATCGGACGACGTAATTTGGATGGTAAAAATCGTGAATTATTTCCATAATATGTATGCGTACAGTTGAAATTGAAAAAAATTAACACGAACAAGGTATTGGGGGCGGAATCGCTATTTTATGCTATTTAGTTATCTCAAATATATCTGAGAACTCTGTTTATTTTTACCGATCGAGTAAATTAGTTGTTGGAAGAAATAATTCGAATAACGATACCGCACAGACGGACGACGTACAGGCACGAACGACGTACAGGATCTCAGAACCACCTTGCATTCTATGGGACTTTTCGTCAGGGGCTTTGCGGCCGAGAAGACTCTTACCATTTTCATGTCGCTACCAATGTTACCGATTCAGCATAGAATAGGATTGTAACGTTAGTAGTGGTTGGAATTGGAATTAAACGTAACTATGAAATTACAAATAAAAAAATAACGCAATTGTTTATCGGTAGATGATTCGCGTCACGTGTACGTGTTTTACTGCTATCGAAATATCGTGAACAGTTCTACACAATATAATCCGATATACGTGCAGTATGTATCTTTATACGCAAATTTAATAAAAGAGGATGTCTTTACCGAATCTTTTACCTCGTTTTTTACCATCTTCGATGGTTGTAATTCGCCGCTTTATATCGTAGAGGGCATAACAAAAACTCAGATACTTTAGTACGTTGTACATACTCTGTACATATTTCAGAACGTTGGTCAGAAAAATACATTAGGCGTTAGATCTATCCTGTACCTCGTTTGTGGTGATACAATCGGCATCGGGGCACCTTTTCACATTCTTATCCGTTGCGAAAACGTCCGATGTGTATGTTGATTCGTAACTATGGTCAGAGGGTACGTTGTTGATGTATTCGGCTGCGTACAGTAATCGTATACTGTAGGTACTTACTTATGTATTATAAAAAAATATACTAAATAGGTACAACTATGCCTAGGCTCCTGTATTTTGTGCCCATTTAGTGTCGATAAGTGACATTCGCGTTTTGTGCAGTTTTACAGATATTATAAGTAAATACTACATATTATATAAATTAGTACATGAAAGTTCGAAATTACTCGAGCCAAATGGATAAATATTTAACGATATTAGGAAAAAAGGTAAGTAATGGAGAAAAAAGTAAATGGAAAGTTGCGTAAATGTACATATGTACATACATATGTATGTGGCTAAACGAAGAGGAGAAGAGCAGTGCGGCATGGCAACGAGAGAATACCAAAATTAACTAATTTTTATAAAGATCGCATCCTTTTGTTAAACGAACACGTTGACGCGAATAATATACTACATATGTACTTACATATATACGTATATTCCATACGTTGACTTAACTCTTGTACATATTCTTGCCTGCGTAACAACATAAAACAAACACGAAGCAAGTAAATCGATTGAATTACACATATGTATACAGCATCTAAACGTTGAAGTCGAAAGGATGACCATCGAACAAGAATACCTTCCACGACAAACGACGTTGATCGAAAACATCAAGTTGCTCTGTTATTTGATTAAGGATAAAGGGAAGAAGCCGTGTCTGAAGGAGGAAGAAGTAACTCGAAAGAAAAAGTTAGCGGATGTTGCGAGAAACGTTGAGAAAGCTACCGTCGAAGTAACACGTACGTAAAATTGTACATAAACGGACGAAAGAACGTATGCGTAAACGATAATACCGATGCGATTGGAAAATTAGTAGAGAGAAAAATGAACCGGTAAACGTGTTCCCTGACAGAATGGACGTTTGCGGTTCTGGAAAAGAGATTAGACTTTAAGCAGTTCCAGCGAAATGTTGAAATAGATTGGAAAGCAGCGGAGTTGGCGAAGAAGAATATCGAGGAAAATTCGAAGGAAGTATTAAGGGCAGAAAGGTGAGTAACGTTCCCGCTTTCCTACACGTAAGGCTATCGTTGATATAGCGAATTAAAAACGCACATCGCGTGTATATGTACATACACGTCGCGTCGTTTACAATGTTACCGTACGAAATTGACACTGTTAAAATGTTGCAGTGCGAAATTCTCATCAGCGATGTCAGCTGTAAATTTGCAGAGCAAAACGCGGAAAAAATCGATGCAAACCGAAATGCAATTGTTGGATTCTCGTTTAAAATCTATCAACGAAATACGTTGCTGGAGAAAGAACGATTTATATAACGCACGGTAAAAGTTCAACTTTTAAACGTGCAATGCCCCGCCGCCACCTTATTATTCTTTTCTAAAGCGTTTTTTGTTGTTGTTGAATATAATGCAACAGTTACAAAGCGGGGAAACGGTGTTCGGATCAATTGATCAAATACGACAACGTTATCGGAGAAGTTTACGCGTACAAAATGACTCTTCTGTCCGAGAAAGATTTTCTCGAAAAAGAGTACGCGATTATTCAGGTTTGTTCCCAACAGCTATTACATACAGTTTGAACATATGTATGTACGTTATGTGCATATGTATGTATTATACTCATACGGTGTAGTATAAATTTTCTTGCAGGATCGGCTTATCGCGCAACGTAGTTTGTATAAAGGATTGAAGGAGGAGTACGAATCGAACAGAAGAGAAGCTTTCTTGACAAAATTGAAGGAGTTTCGTCGAAATCGTGCGGCAAAGATAATTCAACGAAATTGGAGAATATATAATGCTCGCGCGTCCTACAGAAAAAAGTGGAGAAGCAGAAAATAATAATTCAGAAAGGGGTAAAACGAAGTGTGAGATTGAAAGATTTCTGGATACGTTTCGTGTGAACGGATATAGGAACTGTACGACGATCTTTAGTAAAAATACATCGTTCCTAACAATGGTAACGATAATGACTATCGTTAGACTGATTATCTAATTATTAAGTATTCAACTATATTGATCTTTTGCTATGTTTAGAATCTCTCTCTCTCTCTCTCTCTCTCTCTCTCTCTCCCTCTCCTTCTCTCTCTCTCTCTCTCTCTTTCCTCCCCTCCTGCCAACTTTCATTTTCACCTCTTTCTCCATCGACTTTCTTTCGTTTACACTGGCAAATATTCCAATGATGATTGCACTTTGAGGAAAATGTGTAACGTTTGTAATACGACGATTGGTAGAAATGGACGAATAACGTGGAAAAAATATTGCCAGAGAAGAGGAAGAAGCACGAAGTCGAAGGAGGCGTGTGTGTGTGTGTGTGTGTGTGTGTGTGTGTGTGGAAGAAAAAGGGTAAGGGAGGAGTAGAAATCGGTTGTCGATTGGACAAACAGTTGGAAAAGCGACGAACGATAGAGAAAGGGTGGTAAACCGCACAACTGGAAAGCAGATAGTTAATAGTCGCGCGGTGTTCGACGCATGCTCCGAAACGTTTCCCCGGGGTGATATTCAGTGAGGCAAACCGAGCCAGTAGCCGAGGCTGGCAGACGTTCGATCGTTACCAAGTGAATTACAGTGGTTGAGTGTACCGCGAAGCACAATTTGGATATGCGTATCGATCGTTATCGTTCTCACATACGCGACCTCCCTTTCTACTGGTAGAAATATCTACTGGTAGCAACAGCAGCGCAGCTTCTCACATTTACTTTGCGCCGACAATATTATAATCTTTCGCCTCGTTCGAACCAAGAGTGAGTGGAGCGAGTGTGCGTCTGCTTGCGTGGGTGTGTGCGACGGGCGGGGAGGAAAGAAAGAAAAAGAACGGTAAAAATGCTGATAGTGCTGAAATGATAGAATTCCACGTAGAAGGAACAGAAATTAACTGATTAAGGATAACGGGGTAGCTAGAGAAGGATCGATTCGGGTGAGGGTGTAACGGTGTATTCCGTAAGAATGCCTACGGAGAATCATTCCGATGCATACCGGCATTGAATAATCCAGTCTCTCCGTTGTAAAACGAATGCGCACCACCTGTAGCTCGATATCTACGCTCAAAAGGTCAATCGCCTTTCCATCGAGATTCTTCACAAATGTAAGTCCGAATCTACGTACACTCGTATGGAAATATTGTTCCAAGTCTCTTTCACCGTCGAGTATTTCAAAAGTTACTTGATCTTCCGATACACATACATACATATACTATAGTTACGCTATTTTTTCATTTACTCGTTGAAAATTTCATTTCTATCACTATTGTGTCGTAATATAACGTGGTCAGAAAGAAGAGAGGTATGGATTTCAGTTAGATAGCTGTTTGTCTTCGTTTCAACTTTGAAAAGCCGAAAAAGGAGTTCGGTTTACAAACTGATTTTTCGCAACACATCACACAACTGATTGTACCGCTGATTGATCGAGAATAATACATGGGGAATACGTTGTTAATTTGAATTGGAGCTGTCTCGTTGTCGTATTTCTACTTATTTTTGTGTAATTTGAATGGTATGATGTCTGCCGTTTCAACAGGAACCAGGGAAAACGGGAAAAAGGAGGAAAAGGGGGAAAAGAAGAAGGAATAGAAAAGAAGAAAAGATAAGAGAAGAGGGAGTATAGAGAAATCTAATACGATTTCCCTTCTTTCGTTGTGGCAAGTCGAGCAATACCTATTATTAATATAGTATTACGAACAGTAACAATAATGTTATCAGCAGCACGTTACTCCGACCTGAATGAATTTTAACCAAATTGTTTTAATTGCTTTGCTTGGAATTCTTAATAGGATGGATATTTCACACGCGTACCATAAAGGTGCTACGCGGGTCGGAAGTGATCATTGGAAGGAAGCGTCGAAACGTATAAACGATGACCGCAGGAACAAACAATACTTGTGGCAAATGGAGCATGGAGGAGCGGGAAAATATTTTAACGAGCGGAACTCTAGAAGAGAAAAAGGAAGCTTTCAAAGACGACGAAGAGTTGATGAGAGAAACTACGAAGTTTGTGAACGATGTTATACAAACGGCGAGCACGGAGGCCACTAAGAGAAAAGTCTATTCAGAGGTAAACAATTTTTCTCCGTGATACGTGAAAAACCAAAACCGTCGAGAACGACGAGTGTTGGGCTGACCATTTCGTTTCGTGTTTCAGAAAGGTGATGCCAATGAAGGTAAGCATATACATATATTGTACATACATATGTATATATGTGAAACAACCGTATCCGAACGGAACAAGGAAGGAAACGGAGAGAGAGAGAGAGAGAGAGAGAGAGACAGAGAGAGACAGAGAGAATTCTCGTTTGAAATTAATTCTATGAAATTAAATACGTGCAAGTAATATACGCAGCTATAATCGAATCTCGCTCTCTTTCTCTCACGATTATTCCCCAATTGGCTGGTGAAACGAAACGAGGAAAAATGTGTGTTTGCGTAGGAAGTAGACTGAAAGGTATCGCTGGTTGGAATCGTCGTGTACGTGAATTCTGCAGTCGAGTACTGAACGTGCTCTGTCTATGCTTCAACAACAATGGTAAATCGTAGAAAGCGTTTGGAATTTAGTAATTATGCGCGAAACTACCACCATATTTCGATACACACGATACATTATATACACATACATACTTGTACTTACTTATGTACCTTCAATTTCTAATCATCGCTCGTCAGCAGACTAATTATTTACGCACAACTCTCATATCCGTATTAGCGTTACGTACGACGATGAATGATTTTATGTTCGAGGACGGATCGAAAATCAGATTCTCTTTACTTTGCGAATTAGGAGTATTATTTTATAGTTTGCGAAAGCTTAAACAAGACGGGGCGTTTTTACTCTCTTCTCTGTTTGGTGTTTCGGTCGAATTCGTATTTGTCGCGATAACTTTGAATCTGTATCGAAACTGTAATCACTCTGCAGAAGAAAAGAAGAAGCAAAGAAGGTGGATAATGATTTTATTAGAAGAACGAGCAACGGAAAGAAAAAAAGAAAACTCGTGTGTATGTGTTTGCTGTTGGTTTGACTCGGTCGACGTGGATCGAGTCGTCGATCGATGTACGATGTACGATAATATTTGCAATATTATGCGTCAGAGATGCGTTGTTATAGGAGATGTAATGTACGAGAAGTTTCTACTATGGATAACAACGATCGATGACATATCCCCCTTTACGTTTTACCTAGAAACGCGTACGTAGGTATTTTATCGAGTTGAACGAGAAGCACGCGATTCGATTCAGTCGATAACGAATCAACGTTTCGAGAGATTCAACAGAGAGACAACGACACAGTTCGATACTTTGAGAGAATAATTAAGACGTCCTCGTTCATTTTCATCGGCGGCGATCAGTTAGAACGCATGCGTCTCGTGTTCAACTTGCATCTTATCCTCGTACCCTGTAGTATCGCAGCTATCATAGTAGCAGCTAATCAAATCTCACCTAGCATGCGTGGAAATGCGTAACAGCGTAATAGCATAATCATTTCAAATGCGCACACTCGTCCTCATTCTTACTTGGTAAACTTACTCCATACCAATTATACATACATACATACATACATGTACTTGCCTCTACATGAAAGATATGTAGTTGGAATACACGGTGTCATCTCGATACTCGTTTCGTCCAGCAATTTCTGTCTCTCTATTTCTCTGTATTGTTATTCGATGTGCATGCGTGAGTATACGAGGACAGAAAACGATGTATCGAGATAATAACATTGATTGTTGTGCACGTTGTAACCACCAGATTATACGTATCGTGATATTTGCGTAATATTACTTATTATTACCAGAAAGGACGTATGTATATTGTACTATTAGAATACTATCTATTCTTTTCATAGAATTACTTGGCTGGACGTCGTACCGGTATCGCTTCACGAGACCTTAATCGCTCGCTGCCTTCCAGAAAATTTACTATGTATAAGTATTGTACTATATTTTGTCAAGTAATCGTCGATTCGACGACCGATCGAATAATAGTAGGAATATTTGCCGCCTTTTTCTGAGTATGTAATACGAATTAACCAACCATCGGTTCATCTTCGTCCGTTCATCGTTCGATGAAACTTATTCTTTACCAGCGAGAAAAAGCTTATTCGCGAGAAATCCACGTGTACTTATGCACGTATCCACCTTAATGTGTCTTGTGCAGATAAAAGGTAGTGTACCCTTGATATAAAATCGGCGAAGAAGATGAATGTCAATGTGAAAGAAATTAGTTGTTGTTCGTTGACTATGTGTAACAGTTAGACCTTGTGCTGTTCATCCTTTGCGTAACAATGATGATATGTACATATATTTCGACGAAAATAAAACAGAAAGTAGGAACCGAAAGGGTGAGGAGAATGAGCGAACGAGCGAGCGAGTGAGCGTGCACAAGTCTGTATGCAGAGAAGAAGAGAGAGAGAGAGAGAGAGAGAGAGAGAGAGAGAGAGAGAGAGAGAGAGAGAGAGAGTAATATCTGAATTCATCGTGCAATTACTCGATGTGGGATCAAAATTAAAAAAACCTATCGACTGACAATCAAACAGAGTACATACATTGCATATGCGTGCAAATATATTTACACAAACGTACGCAATCGTGAAAAATTTATTCCTCTTTGAAAATATCTCTGCTATGTATTATACATACATATGTGTCGTGGCAAAGGACCGATCGTAGCGTAATAATAATCGTTCGTAGCGAAACGTAGCAAAGAAGAAAAGATAAGAAGAAAACGATGGTGTATCAACTATACATATGTATATTTGTGTGCTTGCACCTGTATCTACATATACATTAACGATATCTTACTGTAAGTTGTACGCATAAATAAACCGATCTCGTGTATGTATATCTGTTAATAAATATATAAATGTAAATAAAACGGGTTGCATTTTATTTTCATTTATACTTGGAATCGTTATACATACTTCTCTACGCATAAGAGAAAAAGTAAGCGGCACGTTTACGATGCTACTATTGCTCGTTCACTTGATCACCGTTGTTACTGGCCGTCACAACTGGTAAATTGTACGTCGAATTAAACGACTGTGCAAAACACAAGCGTGGTTGTGAAGCGTCAAGAAGATGACGATAATAAGAAAAATAAAACTTTGAAGACTGTAAGAGAAAGAAGAGATTAGGCTATGACTATAGGAAATAATTTGGTTGCTATGGAAAGTTATGTACATATGTACATACAACGTACGATGTGTTCTCTAGGTTAAGAGAAACGGAACCAAAACGGAACGGTTGCTAACCAAAACGGAAGTGAGAAACGAATAATGTTATTGAACGGTTTTACCGTTACGAGGTTGAGTAAAAAAGAAGCATTCACGCGTATTGCGGTAGAGGATTGAGAAGCAATATAAACTCTGCGAAAATGTATAAGTATTTATCGCTCTGTCGAGAAAGAGAAAAGTTTCGTGTTCAACTTCTTGATACTATAAAGAAGAAGAAGCAGGAGGAAGTTTGGAAGTCGCACGAATGTTTGGAAGAAAGAGAAAGAGAGAAAGAGGAGGAGAAGGAGGAGGAGGAGGAGGAGGAGGAGGAGGAGGAGGATATTTTGCGATACTACTATTATTTAACAGAAGGTATCGATGATGCTTACGTAGGATCAATGGATGTCGATCTCCTCGGAAACATTTTAAAGCGTGTCCCCATGAAATGGAAAGAAAAGTTTAAGAAATCCTTAAATGGTTTGGTGAAAGAAGTTAAAGAGGCATATGTGTTAAATGTGAAGAAATCGGTTATAGAATTTGTCATCGGAGATTCGTTGTATTCCTCGTTAAATCAGGTAAAATAAGCATAAGAGGGGGAAAGAATCGATCGAAAGAAGAAGAGGAAGAATCGAACAACCAATAATATTGTACTGTTTCAGTTGATTGCGTTCGAGAAGGGTGATGAAAAATTAGAAAGAATTGAATTTCCGAAAGAACACGCGATCAACTATCGACGGAAGAGAGGAAATCTAGAGAGAAGAATTCTATTATATCGTCCTGTTATGCAACGAATTTTAGATTACTGGCAGCGAGAATTCAGGTTGGTCTGATCAGCAGGTTGGTTCAGGATCAGGACAAAGAATAATAATTTACGTTGGTACGTAACAGCGGGAGAAAACTTGTAGAGGGAGATCAACTGGCGGAATGCGACACGTCGTACGACCTTTCAAGTTTCGAGAGAATCATTTTAAAGATGTGCCATAAGACAAAGGAGGATCTTATCAAACACTGGTTGCCGAAAATTCAAAGGATATTGATCGCGGTACGAATCGATGCGATGCATATTATAGTATGTACATATGTATATACATAATCGATGGCCGGTGATATTCGTTATGTATTATATTTAGGCAATAAAACGGAACGAATTAACGTCGGTCGTCGATACCCCAAGATGTCGATCGTTTTTCAATTGTGTCGCTTTTATCATGGAAGATCAGCTGCGAACACTTTGTCTGGAATCGATAGAAGAGTACACAGACTACCTCTGCAACAGAAACGTGAGTGAAAACAGGTGAAAGGGAAAAGTAAGTTTGTTTGTTTGCATTTGTAAGGTTAAAAAAAATCTCGTTTATTCGTCACACATGTAGCACACATGTTGCGGCTTTGACGTTAAAATGACGATACGAAATTCAATCGTATCGTTCGACCCGACATTTCAAGCCTTTGTGGAAACAATCTCGACGATGCTAAATTCATTGCGGGATGCTGTCGGTAGTGTGCCACGCGTTGAATCGCTCTTGAATATCGATTGCCAGATGGAAAACTCCGATCGAAAATTACTCGAGGTATTACCTTCTACGTATGTATGTGTCTTCGATACCTTGAACGATCGATTGTACAATGGATCGGATTAAAATATATCGAGTTGAAACGCAGCCGTACGTGTCGGAAGAATGTGTGGAGGAACATCTGGAGGAAATTACGCGACAAGTGGAGAAAGAAAAAATTGGCCCTATAGTCCAGCAAAGGGAATTTGAAAAGTACCAGAGTTTCATGGACGACTCGGAGAGCGTGAAAGTGGAGGAATTGCTGAAAACCGACACAAGCGGTGACAACTTTGAACGTTATCGATCTTTAATCGCATATTACGATCGTTTGTCTCGATCGGTGAAAGTCGAGTTTCATCGAACCTATTTCGCTGGATTTTTCGTTGTTCACCGTAGAGAGGTTCTCGAGTATATCGGTTCGGTGTCCCGCAAAATCAAGGAGGAATTGCTCGCTAAAATGATCGGCGAGTATCAACAAAAGTCTCGAACGTAAGCGAATCGTTACTACATTATCCGATCCGATCGTCGCGCGCGAATCTGAATCGGAATCTGATTAGCGTAGGGAACGAGTATCAACGTATCGTGGATCGTGCGTTGAGCATTCCAGCAAATACGAAGGAACTAATGGAGCTGAAGAAATTTATTCGCGTGACAGAAACGGAAACTCTGGACCAACTGAAAGCACGACTGAGAGAAATAATAAAATATATCGTTGTTTTATCGGATTACTCGATCCTCAGCCCTGTCGAAGTAAAAATCAATAATTTTGCTTTCCAATGGTAAGAATCTCTATCTGGTCTCTGTAATGTGTTATAATTTGTCGATCGGGGCTACGTCGTAGTTACATGCTCCAGGTATTACAAACTTGGGGAAATTTTCAAGCAACATCGAGAAATCGTTTCGAGTAAAATTGAAGAATTTCAACAGAGCCTGAGAAAAAGGATCGAACAATTTGAAAGGGAGCTCGAGACGTTAGCCAGGTACTGCGACGAATTGCAGTACTGGGGTAACATCGAGGAGATCTATCGATACAAAAAGAAGGCCGATCGTTTGGAGAACAAGCTGATCACCGCGATGGATGTGATCGATGGATTCAACGAGGAAGAGGAGTTGTTCGGTTGGGAACCGTCTCAGTATCCGTTACGAAAGGCGGTAAGGTGACATTATCGAGGAGGAGGGTAATACTGATAAGTTTTATTAATAATATCAGTTCCTCCGATTAGGCAGCGGACAAGCTATCGCCGTATAAAAAACTGTACGATGCCAGCTGTGATTTTCTAACTAACTACGATACGTGGATGAGTTCGATCATAGGTTCTCACGATCCGGAGGAGATCGACACCGAGACAGGACTCGCTTATCGAACGGTGTACAGGTCGGAACGGTCGATTCAGGAACCGACGGCGAAAAAGCTGGCCGAAACAACCCGAATAAAGATAGAAGAGTTCAAAGAGCATATGCCTGTGATATCTACGCTTGGTAATCCATCGATGAAGCATCGTCACTGGGAACAAGTGTCGGAAATTGTTGGCTTTCCGATAAAAGTCGACGAAACGACGACGCTTGCCAAAGTAAGCGTATACGTATGTACTTGGGCTGAAGTATGTAAGTGATTTTTGGGAAAATAGGGCGGAAGAGGCGAGAACTGGTTTGTCGTTGCAGATTCTCGATTACGGTTTAGACGACTACGTTGCAAAGTTCGAAGGAATATCGGAGGCAGCGTCGAAGGAAGGGAGTTTGGAGAAGGCTCTGGCTCGAATGCACCTCGATTGGGCAGATATCACGTTCACCGTGAATCCTTATCGCGATACCGGCACCTACGTGATCGCCAGCGTCGACGACATACAATTGCTTTTGGACGATCATCTGATCAAAGCTCAGACTATGAAAAATTCCCTTTATATTAAACCGTTTGAAAAGGAGACTTTGTAAGTAGTAAAAGTACATATGTACATATTTGTAACTGGTTTCCTCCTTACTTGGCATCGTTGCGTCCCGCAGAGAATGGGAGTCGAAGCTGCGCTTGTTACAAAGTATCATGGATTATTGGCTACAAGTCCAAGCAACCTGGATGTATCTCGAACCGATATTTTCATCGCCTGACATTCAACAGCAAATGCCGGAGGAAGGTAGACGTTTCAGCGCTGTGGATAAGGTGCGTGCGTAACGTTCCTTCTCCTCCCTCCTCCTCTTCTATTTCATTTATGTCTCTACATACATACATACATACGTACATACATACGTACGTACATACATACGTACATACATACATATGTAGATCTGGAGAGAAATTATGTCTCTGGTAGCGTCAGATCCTCGAGTACTGTCCGTCGCTGAAATCGACAAGATGCTCGAAAAGTTGAAGAAATGTACGAATTTGCTGGATCTAATACAGAAAGGGCTTACCGCTTACTTGGAAAAGAAAAGATTATACTTTCCGCGATTCTTTTTCTTGTCGAACGACGAACTCTTGGAAATATTGTCAGAAACGAAAGATCCTACCAGGTATAAATTTACTATATATGTACATACTTTATGTATGGTTATTCGTAATATATGTATAGGTTATAGATCTGTTAATATACATACATATGCGATTAGGGTACAACCGCATCTGAAGAAATGCTTCGAAGGAATTGCACGTGTGAAGTTCACGTACGATTTAGAAATAACAGCTATGATATCGTCCGAAGGCGAAGAGATAATTCTTGAAACTACGATCGACACAATGGCGGCTCGAGGCCAAGTTGAAAAGTGGTTGCTCGAGCTTGAGTACTCCATGAAGAAGAGCGTTAGAGCCCAGGTAAGGTGAACGGAAGATGAGAATATTGTAGAAAATTGAAGGAAAAAGAAACGAGTTGTTTCGTGTCGAGACAGGTGATACGAGCAAAGGACGGGTTTTTAAAACAAATCAGATCGAAATGGGCTTTAGAGTGGCCTGGTCAGACTGTGATTTGTGTGAGTAAACTTTATTGGACGGCCGAGGTAACGGATGCGATATCGAAATCGGTGAAGGATGTGGAAGATTACGTGAACATTTGTACGAGGGAATTGAACGAGATAGTAAAATTGGTTCGCGGAAAGTTGTCGACGCAAAATCGCACGACATTAGGTGAGAGCGTTAAAGATAAAAAAAAAAGGATATTGCATTTTAACGAAAGAAACGTTTCAGAGGCATTGGTTACGATGGACGTTCATAGCCGAGACGTTGTAGCGGGACTGTTCGAACAACGAGTTACCGATACGACCGATTTTAAATGGCTGGCTCAATTGAGATACTACTGGACGGTAAAGGAAAAGAGTTGTTTTTCTTGATAAACTTGTGCACAATTTGGGTATTTGCATTTGGTACGTGGACGGACGGTCTGCTTCCAGGAGGACAATTTATGGTCAACGATGATAAACACGTCGTTGAGATACGCTTACGAGTATCTGGGTAATACGTCTAGACTGGTGATAACACCTTTGACCGACAGATGTTATCGTACTTTATTCAGCGCGTTGAGCTTGCATCTCGGTGGTGCACCTGAGGGTCCGGCTGGAACCGGCAAGACCGAGACGACCAAGGATTTAGCCAAAGCTGTAGCTAAGCAGTGCGTTGTGTTCAATTGTTCCGACGGTCTCGATTACATCGCGCTGGGTAAATTTTTCAAGGTACCAAGTTCTCGTTCCATCGTCGAACCACCAGCAAGTGTAGATTCACATTTACTCGTTAATACCGAAATCCAGGGATTGGCAAGTAGCGGTGCATGGTCCTGCTTCGACGAATTCAATCGAATCGATCTGGAGGTACTGTCGGTGGTGGCGCAACAAATCTTAACGATTCAACGAGCCATTAACGCTGGAAAGGATAAACTTGTTTTCGAGGGTACCGAAATCAAATTGGACCCCACCTGTGCCGTTTTCATTACCATGAACCCAGGATATGCAGGAAGATCCGAACTACCGGATAACTTGAAGGCGCTCTTTCGGCCGGTCGCGATGATGGTTGGCGGCATACGTATATGTACATACTATTACATGTATATACAACGTATAAAATGATCGATGGACATTGGGATTTTCAGGTGCCAGACTACGCTTTAATTGCTGAAAACACGTTGTATTCGTACGGGTTTTACGAAGCACGACCGCTCTCGGTGAAGATCGTAACAGCTTACCGGTTGTGCTCTGAACAATTGTCGAGCCAGAATCATTACGATTATGGGATGAGGGCGGTGAAATCTGTTTTAGTAGCGGCTGGTAATCTAAAGATCAAATATCCGGACGAGAACGAAGATATGTTGGTGTTGCGCAGCATCAAAGACGTTAATCTACCAAAGTTTCTTAGCGAAGATTTACCGTTGTTCAACGTACGTACAGTCTTTGTTTCCTCCGTTCTCTGAATTACATAGTCGGTAATAAGAAAAATGCAGGGCATCACGTCCGACCTATTTCCTGGTGTGAAACTTCCACAACCGGATTACACCGACTTGAACGCGTCCGCTTACGACGCCTGTGCGGCGTCCAACGTGCAATGCAGCGCTGTCTTTTTGGAGAAGATACAGCAGATATACGAGATGATGATCGTTCGGCACGGATTCATGATCGTTGGTTTGCCGTTTGCTGGAAAGACAACAGCTTATAAAATACTGGCGGACGCTTTGAAACTTTGCGAAGAACGAGTAAATTACATGCGTACATACATACATCATACATACATACATACATACATACATACATACATACTCCCCATGTATTATACATATGTAGGTAATAATAGAAGAATGGGATTTCTCACAAGGTGGAAAAACACGTTTCAGAACCTGATAAACGAGCACAGCGTAGAAACGTTCGTGATCAATCCTAAAGCTGTTACCTTGGGTCAGTTGTACGGGCAATTCGACCCGGTGTCCCACGAATGGTCCGACGGAATTTTGGCCATCAGTTATCGTGCTTTCGCCACCTCGACCAACGACAATCGAAAGTGGCTAATTTTTGACGGGCCGATAGACGCGGTATGGATCGAAAGCATGAACACGGTTCTCGACGATAATAAGAAACTCTGTTTAATGAGCGGAGAGATAATTCAGTTGTCACCCTCTACCAATTTGGTATTCGAAACGATGGATTTGGAACAGGCTTCACCGGCAACTGTATCTCGTTGCGGTATATCGATCCTTTCGATCCCATCGCGCTAGCTACGTAGCTACCGTCCACTCTCACGTTGGTTCATCTTTCGATACAGGAATGATCTATATGGAACCTGGTGCACTCGGCTGGGATCCTTTGCTTAAATCTTGGATAGCTGATGCCCCAGCTGTAATGGACGAGTGGTTGAAAAACTTTGTATATCGGTCGCTGTTTCGAAGGTTTTCCGTTCCTATATTATATTGGCTCCGTCGCGAGGATGTCGAGGTTCTTGTATTTTCTCTCTACTTTTATACCTATCCAGCGCTACTTTGCTTACTACTTTTCTTACGTCGCAGAAAATTTGTCCCATGCCCGACTCGAATCTTATGCGCGGCTTGACCCATCTGTTGGATTGTTTCCTCGACGAGTACCGCGACGAGAAAATTGCCAAGGAAATGGACGAGTTGGATCTTCGAGCACAAATCGAGGTTAACGTATCTGTACATAATTCGAAACGAAACGAGACGAAATACATATTCCTTACCTTCTTCAGGGCTCGTTTTTCTTTTCGTGCATCTGGGCATTGGGAGGTACACTGAAGGTAAACTCGAGAGAAAGCTTCAGCGTTCTTTTTCGGGGCTTTCTCGAGAGAAGCTTTCCTTCGAACTTGGTGGAAGAGTTTCAGCTGAGGGAGCCGATAGAACCGCCTTTAAAGCCGTATATATTCGTTATGCCGCGGGATGGCCTGGTCTTTGACTATAAATTCATCAAGGAGGTAGGTTGTAGAATCGCGATTTATTAATTATTCGATCGGTCGATGGTGACGATGATGATGATGGTCGTAGGGGAAAGGAAAGTGGAGATTATGGTCGGATGATTTGCTCGATAGTCCACCGATTCCTCGAGACATTCCCGTGAATCAAATAATCGTACCCACGGTGGAGACGATGCGATACACGGCTCTGTTTCGTTTACTAGTGAGCAACGAAAAGCCTGTGCTGTTTGTGGGTCCAACTGGAACCGGAAAGTCGGTCTACATAATCGATTTTCTATTAAAGAAGAACGATCCTGCGGTGAACAAACCGTTGATTGTTAATTTTTCCGCGCAAACCACAGCGAACCAAACTCAAGACACGATCATGGGAAAATTGGACAGGCGACGAAAAGGCGTTTACGGGGCGCCTATAAGCAAACGCTGGATCATTTTCGTCGACGATCTCTCGATGCCGTTGAAAGAAATTTACGGAGCACAGCCGCCGATCGAACTGTTGCGACAATGGCTGGATCACGGAGAATGGTAAATGCTTGTTCGTTTTTGCTTCGACTCGTTGGAAACTGCTCGGTTTGGAAACTCGGTTGGTTGCAGGTACGACAGGAAAGAAAAGAGCATGATAAAGCTGATCGATGTCCATTTGATGTGTGCCATGGCTCCGCCTTTTCGCGGTGGGAAGGATGTCACGGCCCGATTCAAAAGACACTTTGTCGTTTTAACGATATCGGATTTCGATGACGAAGTAATGATCACGATATTCAGTAAGATTATCTTATGGCATTTGGACACCAGGTTTGTAAACTCCCTTCGCTACGCCCACCTCGCGTTCTCTCTACCTTTTCGTCTCTCTATTTTTTCATCGTAGAGGATTCAGCAAAGAATTCGATCCGTGTATCGAGGAAATGGTTTTAGGCACGTTAGACGTGTTCAAAGAAAGTCTCGCTAATCTTTTACCAACACCGGCCAAGTGTCACTATATCTTCAATCTTCGCGACTTCTCCCGCGTGATACAGGTGCTGTCTGATACTTTTGAATCGCGTTCAATTTAACGTCATCGTGATTCGTGATGATACAGGGTGTCCTGCTATCCGTACCAGAAACTATGCCGACGTTAACCAGCATGAGAAAACTTTGGGTTCACGAGATGCTTCGGGTGTTTGGAGATCGTTTGATAGATCAAGAGGATATCTGTTGGCTGGTGGAGGAAATACGCGTCACGTTAAAGAACCGAATGAACGTGTCTATGGACCAACTGTTGGAAAATCTTCTCCCCTCGCAAGTATGTCTCCCTTTCTATACATTTTATACCTGCGTAATATATCTCATACTCGACTCCGAAGAAAGAAGGATCTGTCACCGAGCGAGAACTTCGAAAATTGGTGTACTGCGATTTCGGGGACACGAAGCAGGACGTACGACTTTATCAGGAGGTTCTGGATCTTGAGCAATTACGAGAAATAGTAGAGATTTATTTGGCCGAGTACAACTCTATGACGAAGAAGCCGATGAATTTGGTGTTGTTTCGGTATGTTAGTTGGCCCGATAATACATATACAACTGAGTAGGAGATTAGGACAGATGAATTCGGACGAAACACGCACAGGTTTGCCATCGAACATCTGTCCCGTATTTCTCGCATCGTCAAGCAACCGCGAAGTCACGCGCTGCTGGTCGGTGTCGGAGGGACAGGAAGACAATCGTTGACCAGACTAGCCTCCCATATATCCGACTACGATGTTTTTCAAGTTGAAGTCACTCAACAATATGGCGTTCACCAATGGCACGAGGATATAAAGAGAATTCTAAAACGCGTCACGGCTACCGATCTTCACTCCACCTTTCTCTTTACCGACAGTCAGATTAAAGAGGAGAGCTTTCTCGAGGATATGAGCAACATGCTTAACTCTGGAGAGGTGAGTTTCATTCTCTCTCTCTCTCTCTCTCTTCCTTTATCCATCAAACCGATGTGGAAATATTTTTAGATACCCAACATATTTACCGCGGAAGAACTAGTCGAGATTTACGAACAGATGAAACAAATAGACAGACAACGGGACCGATCGGTGCAAACGGACGGAAGCACTGTAGCTTTGTTCAATCTGTTCGTTCAGATAACGCGCGATCAACTTCACATCGTGTTAGTCATGTCTCCGATAGGCAATCACTTTCGCAATAGAATCAGAAAGTTTCCAGCACTGGTGAATTGTTGTACCATCGATTGGCTTCAGGTACGGCGAATAGAACTTGAACGTTTCTGTGTACATATTCGTTTCAACTTCGTTTCTTCTCATAAGTATCATAAATATCTATTATTTATCGAGCCATGGCCAGAAGATGCTCTGTTAGCGGTTGCAACGAGATTTCTATCGACGATCGAACTGACGGATCACGAGAGAACCGCTGGTATTGACATGTGCCAATTTTTTCACGTCTCTACCGAGACTTTGAGCGTAGAGTTCTTGACTCGATTGGATAGACAGGTTTACGTCACTCCCACCTCGTACCTTGAAATGATAAACACCTTTAAGGACCTGCTAGGGAAGAAACGGGAGTAAGTGTCGAAATGAATTGTCGTGTGAAACGAATTTCAAACGAAATATGTAATCACTTTTTACGAAACAGAGAGATAATAAGCACGAAAACTCGATACGAGCGTGGGTTGGGCCAGTTGGACGAGACACAGAAGCAGGTGGTAACGATGCAAGAAACTCTAAAATCGTTGCAGCCGCAACTGATAATCGCGACGCAAGACGTTCAGAGAATGTTGCTCGAGGTTGACAAGGAGAAACAAGAGGCAGCAGAATTCGAGAAAGTGGTTAAAATCGACGAGGAAGCAGCTGTGGTTCGTTTTCACTTTTCCACCTAATACCTTTCAATTAAGAAAGCTAGGGTTCTTTAGGTTTACGCGAACGAAGCAGCTGCAATTAAGGCAGAGTGTGACGCTGACTTGGCCGAAGCGATGCCAATTCTGAAACGTGCTCAAAGCGCTCTGGACACTTTGACCACTGCTGACATTGCTGTGGTAAGGGCGATGAAAAAACCACCGGGTGGAGTACGATTGATCCTCGAAAGCGTTTGCGTCCTCAAGGTTAGATTCTCTCTCTCTCTCTCTCTCTCTCTCTCTCTCTGAACCGTTGCAACGTTGTCGCTAACAGCAAATAAAGCCGGAGAGAGTACAGCAAGCTGGCGGCACCTTCGTGGAGGATTACTGGAAGTCGGCTCTTCGAATGTTGAGCGATGCAAAGTTTCTCGATTCCCTGCTCAATTTCGACAAGGACAACATACCCGATAACGTGATAGAAAAGATCCGCAAAGAATACTTGGCCAATCCGGATTTCGATCCGGAAAAGATAAAGAAAGTGTCAACGGCGTGCGAGGGATTGTGTCGGTGGGTGTACGCGATGTCTGAATACGATAAAGTATCGAAAGTGGTTGCTCCGAAGAAGAGAGCTCTGGCGGAAGCTCAACGTACTTACGACCAGGCAATGAGCACCCTACGAGCAAAACAGGAGCAACTTCGACAAGTGCAGGTGCTTCTCGTCTCTCGACTAACTTACTTACTTACTTAACTTAACTTACAAACTTTATCAATCGGCTAACAGGGTACTTTCGAACCGCGTAGGAAAAATTGAAAGCGTTGGAAGAGCTGTTGGAAGAAAGAAGAATGGCTTTCCAGGCAATGTCCGATAAAGTGGAGGATTGCGAGACCAAGTTGAAGCGCGCCGAAGACTTGATCGGTGGATTGGGCGGGGAGTACACGCGTTGGTCCGAAACCGCGAAAGCTTTGGGGAAAAGGCGATTGATATTTTCCAAAGATCTGTCCGTACACCCTCTATCAACGACAGTATTATTTTTCTCTTCCTTCCAGGTATCATCGATTAATGGGTGACATCGTGATTGGTTCCGGTGTGGTCGCGTACCTGGGTCCGTTCACGTTGCCCTTTCGTCTGCGACAAACCGCTATCTGGGTAGAACGATGTACCAATTTAAAAGTGATTTGTCATCAAGATTTTCAGTTACGCGACGTGCTCGGGGAGGCAGCCTTGATCAGGTCTTGGAATATTTTCGGACTCCCGAACGACGCTTTCTCCGTCGACAATGGCATCATCATCAAGTACATACTTTTTCTTTCTTCTCTTTCGTTCCTAATCCCATCCCATCTTTCGGAAGTGTTAATTGTTACCACGCGGACTGTCTAGAAATGCGAGGAGGTGGCCATTGATAATAGATCCTGAGACCCAGGCCAATAGGTGGATCAAAAATATGGAGCGAGAAAATAACTTGAACGTTATTCGATTAAGTCAACCTGACTACGGTAGAGTGGTGGAGAACGCGTTGCAATTTGGACAACCGGTGCTTCTCGAGCACGTCGCCGAACAATTGGATGCTGTGCTTGAACCGGTCCTTCTTAAAGAGACGTTCAGACAAGCTGGTGTGCTTTGCATCAAATTCGCCGACTCGATTATCGAATATAATTCCGAATTCAGGTAATTCCGAATTCAGGTAATTCCGAATTCAGGTAATTAATCCCCTCTCCTCTATTCCCCTTCTAGACTCTACATCACCACCAGATTAAGAAATCCACATTACTTGCCGGAAGTAGCGGTTAAAGTAACGCTACTGAATTTCATGATTACACCGGTCGGATTGGAAGATCAATTATTGGGTATTGTTGTTGCAAAGGAGAGGCCGGACTTGGAGTCGGAGAAGAACGCTTTGATCGTACAAGGAGCCGCGAACAAAAAGTGTGTCCGATTCTTTCCTAGTAGATAACCTAGGTACCTATGTACTTATCTAAATATATACATTCTTATTCTTTCCTTTCTGGTGGTGTTGAATGTTGGGAAAAAATTAGACTGCTGCAAGAAACGGAGAAGAAAATCTTGGAAGTACTATCCATAGCCGAGGGTAACGTATTGGAGGACGAAGAAGCGGTAGAGATCTTGACGTCGTCCAAGAATTTGAGCAACGAGATTCAAGTGAAACAAGCAGCGGCAGAACAAACGGAAAAGTCGATCGACGAAGCGAGATTACAGTACACGCCCATCGCTGTATATTCCACTGTATTATTCTTCGCTACCGGTATTAAGTTACAATCTAGATAACCCGCGTTTATACATACGTATGTAAGTACTAACCGAATTATATTTCCCTAATGACTAATTTCGTTTCAGCTACCTTGATAAATATCGATCCTATGTATCAATATTCGTTGTCGTGGTTCGTTCATTTATTCGAGCTAGCCATCGACAACACGGAACCGGCGGAAACCGTTGAACAACGGCTAACTGATCTTATGAAATATTTCACCTATTCCCTCTACACGAACATCTGCAGATCTGTATTCGAGAAAGATAAACTATTGTTTTCCTTGCTCTTGGCGATTAAATTGCTCGAACAACGAGCAAATCTTTCTCTATCGCAATGGACATTTTTACTAACTGGCGGAATCGCTATTGATAATCCGCATGCAAACCCGACAACCTGGCTACCGACCAAACAGTGGAACGAATTGTGCAACCTCGACGATGTCGAACAGTTCTCGGTTAGTTTGCATAGTAATAATAACAACGATGACGATGATTATATTGTATAATATGTTTGTATGATCGTTTCAGGGTATTCGAGTAACTTTCACCAATAACACCCAAGAGTGGAAAAAATTGTTCGACTCGAAGGAACCGCAGAACGAACCGATTCCTCTACCCTTTCAGCATTCCAATCTATTTAAAAGAATGTTGATATTGAGGTGCATTCGTCCCGATAAAATCATCCCAGCGGTACAAAATTTCGTCCAAGGTATCAGAAATCTTTCTAAAGCACATTTCAGCATTTCGTATTGTTACATTACTTCGGTGTCACTTTCAGCGGAACTCGGTGAGCAATTCGTCGAACCACCGCCGTTCGATTTAGCTTCGTCTTATGCCGATTCCAACTGTTGCACTCCGTTGATATTCATTTTGACGCCTGGTACCGATCCGGCGCAACTGTTACTCGCGTTCGCCGATGAGCAAGGTTACAGCGCGAATCGTCTATTTTATCTTTCCCTCGGTCAAGGTGAGCGCGAACCAACTTCGACCGTCCTCGTCGTCGAAACTTTCAATCGAATTTCAATTCGGTGATAGGACAAGGACCGATCGCCGAGGAAACGATTCAAACGGCTGTAATGGTCGGTAATTGGGTGGTCTTGCAAAATTGTCACCTAGCGATCAGTTGGATGAGCACTTTGGAAAAAATTTGCGAGGGCCTGGTACCCGATGCCATTCATTCCGAATTCCGTCTCTGGTTAACCAGCTATCCATCCCAACACTTTCCTTCCGTGGTCCTGGAAAATAGTATCAAAATGACCAACGAACCACCAAAAGGTCTAAGGGCTAACATCGTTAGATCGTACACCAGCGATCCGATCGGTGATCCGGACTTTTTCGAATCCTGTTCTCAGACCGAGTACTTCAAAAAACTTCTTTATTCGTTGTGCTTCTTTCATGCTGTGATCCAGGAAAGGCGCAACTTTGGACCGATCGGTTGGAACATCACCTACGAATTCAACGAAACCGATCTTCGAATCAGCGTTCTGCAATTGCATCTTTTTCTCAATCAATTCCAGGACGTAAGATTCGATGCTCTTAGATATTTGACCGGGGAATGTAATTACGGTGGCAGAGTGACAGATAACTGGGATCGCAGAACTTTGAATACTATTTTGCAGAAATTTTACTGCCGGTCGATATTTCTACCAACCTATTCTTTTCTATTTCCTATATACGTGTAGTGTTTTACTTACGATCCATCCAACCACTTTCTAGAGAGCTGCTCGCCGACAAACGTTACTACTTCGACGAAGCTTCGACCATTTATTATTGCCCGAGCTTTCGAGAGCACGAAGCGTTTATGGAATACACTAAAAGTTTACCTTTCATCACTGAACCCAGTGTTTTTGGGATGAACGAAAACGCGGATATCATCAAAGATCAGAATGAAACGAGTCTCTTGTTTTCCTCGCTTTTACTAACTCAGGTACGTTACTCTCCACTCCTCGCACGTTTCATCGCAACTTTCTTACCTTAAATTATACATATATTATCTTTCTTTCTCCATTGCACTCTTGCGCAGGACCGTGTGGTACGTGTATACTATATTCGTCATTTGTTCATTTGCATTTCATACTCGTTTTATACACCGAGTACAAATAATTAGTCGGCAACTTTTTCTTTGCTCTTCTGTAAACCATACCAATGTTCGTCGAATGGTTATTTGTACTCGTTCTATTTACCCTACCTATTATCTCATGACCTTTTCAAATATTTCGTTGCACCTTTCTGCTGAATATCTAGGATCTTTGGCAATCCGCGCAGGTTGGTAAATCTACAATACGCGATACCATATCTAATATACAGATAGATTTGGATAAAAAATAAGTTAACCTTCGTCTGCTTCCTTTTACTCTACCCAGGAAAGAGGTAAATCTGGAACGGGTCAAGCCACCACAGATGAAATAGTGTTTAAAATGGCAAGTGATATGTTAGAAAAATTACCAGATAATTATGATCTTGCTGCGACACTTGGAAAATATCCTATGTCCTATGAACAAAGTATGAATACTGTATTGGTACAAGAAATGGGAAGATTCAACAAGCTTACCACCTATATTAGAACCAGTCTAGAAAATATCAAACGGGCTATCAAAGGTTTTCTTTCTTCGTTTTCTCTCTCCATTTTCCTATGCACTTATCTATTTATTTACAATTAATGTCCACAGGCTTTGTTATAATGTCTTTTGAATTGGAAGATATTTACGATGCAATTTTAACTAACAAAATACCTGCTTTGTGGCAACAATATTCGTATCCATCGCTAAAACCACTTGGTAGTTACATACACGATTTGTTAAGCCGTTTGAACTTTCTTCAAGTAAGACCTTCTTTACTTATTAGTATGTATTATACATACACACATACGTCATAGTTATATTAAACATATTATGCTCATCTGCATCATGTACATATTACGTACCTATGTACATACTTATATTACGTACTGTGTGATATAACCACCGTTTTCACCACCCGTACGCAAACAGGAAAATAGAATTTTTCATTTATTATAGGAATGGCACGAAAAGGGACCACCGGTTCTTTACTGGATCTCGGGATTTTACTTTACCCAAGCATTTCTCACAGGAAGTAGGCAAAACTATGCGAGAAAATATCAAATTCCTATAGACCTTCTGATTTTCGACTTCTTCGTACTGAACGTCGATACAACTCCCAAGTCTCCGCCCGAGGATGGAATATATATATACGGATTGTTTTTAGATGGCGCCAGATTTAATAAAGAACAAATGGCTTTGGATGAAAGTTTTCCAAAAGTGCTTTACGAAAACATGCCAACTGTAAGGAATACACAACATTCGCACGTTTCTTCCTTCTTTCTTCTTCCTTTTACACATTCTCTTTCTCTTTCCAACTTATTATCAATATCCTTCTAAATACAGATGTGGTTAATTCCTACGACCAAAGAAAATATAAAACAGGAAGTAAAGTATACTTGCCCCGTCTACAAAACTAGTGAAAGAAGAGGAGTTTTATCGACTACGGGACATTCGACCAATTTTGTTATCGCTATGACTTTACCTACGATAAAACCACCGGAACATTGGATTATGAGAGGAGTCGCCCTACTTTGTCAACTATCTGAATAAAAATTATTCCTTCTTCTTTTTCTTCTTTCGTTCGTTCATTTCTGCGATACTTTCCATATATTTCCAATTAACAAATATTATTATCTTCGAATCGTTGTAATTTTTATTACATTTTTTTATTACAAGTACCAACATCTATATGAGTACATAGAACAGCTAAGAATTTACCCTTTATATCACATCTTGTACTATTAGATTGTAAAAAATCAATGTTTCTGTAGGGCAAAAATTTCATTGAAATCTATGTCGTACGATTAAACATTTTCAATACTTGCTCGATACGTTTAGATCGCACAAGTGACGATGCACTTCTTCTGCATAGATATAAGTAATCTAGTAGATGAAATGTGGCAATGTGGCGGCGCGCGTCGTGAAAATCCATTTAAAGATGGCTGCTAATCGAGCAAGGTGCTACCGTGTGATGTCACATTCAGATAACGTTTCGATGACGTTGTAGTTCGTAAAAAATTGTCGAAAACCGTTGAGTACAGTTAAGAAATCCAACGTATCTAACCGGAAAAATCAACTTGATAAAGAATGAACTGATTTTCAAGAGAAAAAATGAATTGTCATCAAATATTAAGTGGAGCTTGTAATGCAGGTGATCGCTGCTACGCTGTAGGCTCTGTCGAAGGGATTTCTTTTACCGTGAGTGATTTCTATCTCGTTACATAGCATTCATTACGATTGATCGCATTTCACAGCTGTACTTTCACGTTACGTGTCTCGTTACTGCGACGTTGTATTTTTCTGCCGTCGGAAATATTCTATATTCACAATCGTCTATGAAACATTTTCAAACACCCAACTCTATAGAACCAACTTGTCAGCTTTTTTCCTTCTTTTCTTTCTTTCACAGTTACATTCTTACTCTTTTGCCGTAGAATTTTTATTCTTTACTTCTATTGCTCTTCATCTGCATACTTATTGATTTTTATTACATCCATGTGAAATTAAGTTCTTCAACATTCTGAGTGTTTACAAAAATCTTTCATTTTCAGATATACTGTATAAAAGTAAAAATGAAAACATTATTACATATCATTATTGTGAAATCCTTGAAAACTTTCTTCCATAGCATATTACAAAATTGATTGATATGTTGCAGGCATATGCGGCAGGTTGTAACATAGTAATCCTTGCCAGTAATTTTGAACGAGTTCAAATAATTCCAGGAGCTGTGCATAATTATATAAGGATTAGTTGCTTGGATTGCAGCACAGATACAGGAAAAATTGCTGCAGCTTATGAAAATCAAGTTTGCATTTTTGAGCCTACGCCACTTATACATAGCGCGTGTTCTCATGTATGTAATTTTTATCTTGCTACATCTCTATTTTTCATCATTATTTGCATATGTATATATTACATATTGTTTACCACCAACGTTATGCGATAATTTATTTAAATGACATGCAGCAATTGGAATATCGATGGGTTCAAACTGGTAGCCTCACGACCGAATCGAACATTAGCTCTCTATCGTGGAATTTGGAAGGAACAAGATTGTTAACCGGTGGAGAACTTCTACAATTATGGCACCAAAATATAACCCCATTTCAAGAAGAGCATAGTAAGCTTTTTCTCGTTGATATATCGTTCAATCTATACGTTACGATGATTAACATTTTGTCAAATTTCATCTATTTACATGTACATTATTCTATCTTTGTTGTTTGTCAAAATAATAAAATTGTGTACAGTGATGAAGATGAATATGTTACGAACTCAGGAAAGTTGCGTAACTGGACGCGAAGAAAATACTTCGAACGTTCTTCCAGACTGTGAGTTTGTTTACTGTGAAAGAGCACATATGAATGTGAAAAGCAATAGCGACGTTTGAAGTTTTGCGATAAGCTTATTTCGCAGGAAGTATTGCGTGTTCGTACTGTATATGAACAGTATTTGGCGAACAACGTAAAGTTTGAAATGCGTTTTATAGAAGTTAAATTGAAATTCGTCATTTTCTCTATTAAGCAAAATAACTGAAAACTAAATTGATCTTTGTAGTTCTACATATGTATGTATATACATATATACATATATAGCGGTAGTATGCTCCAAGAATTTTTGCTTGATGCTTCTATGCCTTGACGCTTTTACGCATAATCGATGTGACAAAAGGCCTATAGATAACACTTTCGTTCCTACACAGTACCTTTTATTTAATAAAAAAAATGCACACATAGAACAATTGCAATAGCATTTGAAGTTGAAAAAAATGTTCCATTATGTTTACTTGTGTCTAGCTGCATCTGTAAAAGTACAAAAATGTACGTGCTTAGATTAGAAGCATAATGTTTTCTTTCAGCTGGTACAGTTACTTTCTCGATTGGCGGAGAAGCGGAAAGCCCAGCACCTGGAGATTCAAATACTGGCAATGAACCAGGAGCATGGAATTGTGTTTGGAAATGTCGCACGGCTACACCTGTACATCTGATGAGTTTCAGTCCAGACGGTACATTATTCGCGACAACAGGATTCAACGATAGATTAGTGAAGATATGGTTCGAGAATAAACAATGTAAGATTCGTAGACGGGTAACGAAAATGAGACACTACAGGTGTTCTGTAGGTGTTTTAAGTCTCGCGAAAGCTCTAACGAAGCTATGTTTAAAATTATTCAGTGTTTGCTACACGAAATATGGATCACACGAATGTCACGCAATCTATGGGTACTGACAGTTATAGCTTTGTCTATATTGCTCATCCTCGTGCAGTGACACACTTGTCTTGGCGCAAAACTAGTAAATATATGCCAAAGTATGTAAGATCTGTATTATAGAATTTATAAGAAATTATTTGCATCGCAGTATCTGAACTGTGAATTGTGAACTGAACTGAACTGAACGGAACTAAACTGAGAGTATTTTTAAATGAAATGATTAGTTTTCGTTAGTTTAATATCTTTTCTTTCTCCTTTTACATAGAGGATCTGTCTCCAATATGTTGGTCACATCTTGTAGAGACAATATTTGCCGTGTATGGGCAGAAACGATACCACCGGAAGTTGAAGGTTTAGCTAATATGAGTCAGTTCGAAGGTTCTGACAGGCACGGTCATCATGGAAAACATCGGCATCACAATATGCACAAACATCGATTCATGCAACGGCTGAAGCACATGAAGTGCGTAAACGGTCGAAATTCTCTTTTTACATACAGATTGTGTACGTGTACGTTTTACTCAGGAAACGGGATATATACCTTTTGTAGAACCTGTTTCCATATTCGTCGACACGCAAAACAGCAACATCAAGCAGGCCACGCGACAGCTCCAACTTTACCAACTTTACCTTCCACGTATTCGGTTCATGATTTTCACAATAATTACCAAGGGACGGGTCATTATCCAGGAATGCATTTTCATTTGGCAGCTAGTATCAATGCCGAGACCGGTACGCTTATAGCTAATAATTACATTGTATTTTAGAATAGTAGAACGAAATAGTGTATACATATATAGTTGTGTATAACGAATCATAGATATACCATTGGTGCCAAGCTTAATTACCGGAGATCCTGAAAGGGAGCCAAATTTTATTCTACACTGGTTGAACAATAAAGAAATGCATTTTACGATGCAAGCAGAAAGCACTTTGCAAGAACTTACTCGTAAAGTGATAGAGAAGGAGGAAGGATTGCATCAACAACAGCAGGATGTCGATCACGCAGAGCACGATTCCGAAGAAGAAGGCCTATCGAGTAAGATTTTCGTATTGAATCGGTATATTTTATTGAGAGGCAGGCGTCATGATAGAGTTGATTACGTGTGATAATAGAAAAAGGAGTGAAATTGCAACCTGTGCAAAAAACGGGAGGTACGGTTCGATCAATGAGCCAAGAGGATCATAGCAGCGACGAGCATCACACGACTCATACGGTTTCGTCGCATCATAGTTTACCACATAGCGCACATTCTCACCAAAGTCTTAGGTACAATACCCCTAATATTTTTTATGCGCGTACATACATACCTACGTACATACATACCTACGTACATACATATACATATACGTAGATAATATAAGAACGAAAAGTTGTTTGGTTTACGTAAAATTTGTATTCGTTTGTTAGTTACTAGTATGGTTGTGCATATATATCTATGCGCGTGTGTATTTTTTTAAATTTTTCTCCTGTACACAGTAATACAGCGTCGATTAATTCCATTGCAACGGATGTAACGCCTTCGATAAATCATGCTCCGGACTCTTTGGATACGAAAATAGAGACGTTATTGCGAGATTGGCATCATAATCCGGATTTACTCTTTTCGATTCATCCGATAGACGGAAGCTTTTTAATTTGGCATATCGAATGGTTGGACGAATATCATCCAGGATCATTTCGACAAGCGCAAATATCATTTTCCACACGAATACCAAACGCGTTTCCTCTTGGTGACGCTTCAACAATGAGTCACAGCGTATCGATGTACTCTCACAATACCGGTGGTCCTTTGTTAAACATACGGGAAGTGGCAAAATCATCTACGAAACCATCGAACGAAGGTGAATTGTAAAACAATTGTAAAATGGTAAATTGAAAGAAAATCAATGGTTCATGGCTCTGCTGGTTTACATAGGTGGTGAAGTGGCGACGCCATTACCAAGTCTGATCGAGCAGGACGAAGAACAGTCGACGTTAACGTCAAGAACGGGCCAGGAACTGTTAAAAAATATCGAGAGTACGACCGATCCGAATCATAGTGGCGCAAAGGAAAGAGACGGCGGTCATTTGGAAAGTGGAAAAGCGAATCAAGAAACGGTGAACGATTTGTTGACTCATCCAAGCCCAATTGTCTCTATGGTGTCGAAGCATTCGAACGGAACTCTAAATTTATGGCAACTAACGTTTGCCGATAAAACGAAATTTTCCCAGGTAGGAACGAAATATCACATCAATGCAACTTTCTATTAATCTGCTCTTTTACTCTCCAATTATCCATTAATTATTTCCTTTTTGTTTTTTTTTTTTTTTTTTCCCCGAATGACCACCAGGTGCTAAGTATCGGACACGCGGCAAGGGCTTCGGGACATCGGTTCCGCGTGAACGATATTACTTGTCATCCGGTATTGCCTTTATTGGTGACAACATCGCATCACAATATACCGGAGTCCGGATCATCGTCTCAGTGTCAGAACTCTGATTCGAGTGAAAATATGAACAACAAATCTGATTCCAGTAAAGCAACGGCAAAAGATGTCTCCCCTACTGTAAGTGTACATATATAGATATTGGTAAATTATACGTATAACTGGTATCGGCAAGGAGTGCGTATCGAGTTAGAACATCGGACGGTAACCAGTGGAAACTCGTTTATTTTGCAGGGATTCTGCAGCGAATTGATACTTTGGCGTGTGGACACAGTTGGGCCTTAGTATCAGAATTGGCGCGTATTAATTCGCCAGAAATTTCAGCGTTCAGTAACGTAGCTTGGATTCCAACTCTTTTACCAAGCACTACCTTAGGTAATTTATCGAATTCTCCAAGCGCATGTTTCGTCGCCAGCGACGGCGAATGTTTGAGGGTTTATCAAGCTGTTATCGACGCTAGAACGCTGTTAGCGGAAGTGTCGATTAGCGAAAGACGAAGCAGAATGATGGTAAGCGTTAATATTTTACTTACGTTTCGTTCAATAAGAAACGTTCAACGAAAATTAAGGAAGATTTCGAAGATCTGGATGAATCGAGCTATTCTCGCGTGTATCAGGATTCCATGGCTAGTATCTCGACAGACATGTCATCGGACGATGGGATCAGGCATTCGATCCACGATAGAATAAAGATAGTGTCTCAACAGTCGACGGCCAGACCAGGCTGCGTTATACAGTTGGACGCTATTGCCGATGCTACTCACGTAAGTATCGTTATATGTAGTGGAAATAGCAAGCAAGACCGAATTGAAATTTTTCAATGATCGTTCCTTTTCTACTTGTTGGGTTGGTTAACTCAGGATTGGCAAAATACACAATTCCTACACGTGTTTCAAGAGCAACTAATCACGGGAGATAGAAACGATGAAAAACAAGCCGGTGTAGATACATCGGTGAATGATTTAGGTTTAATGGAGTCTACCTTGGATGCTATGGTAGATCTGCAACAATCGACGATATTCGAAGAACCATTTTACATAGTTGTTTTAGAAAGGACGCAGCAAGGTACAACGCTGCACATGTGGCGTTTGGTGATAGCCTCTCAGCCTGAGACTACCGGTAATGTTGTAGGAAAAAATTACAATCTCGAATTTTCCAGTCCGTTCGCTTTTACTTTTCTCTTCCATTTTATATATTCACGGTATTGCTCGTAGTATTGTCGGAATCAATGATGTACGTGCCGGATTCTCACTTGGTACAAGACGAGGACGAGGAAGGAACGCCTGGACGAAGCACTCATCCAGAAGGTAGAAGATCTCGAAGAGCGAGTCAAACGCGTCACGAGAGCCAAAGCGAGTTTGATATGTTTTACCAAAGACGGCCTCAAAATAGTCACGTTCTTATCACAACTACGAAAGTGTGCACCCAGGAATTACCATTGCCGGACGGAGTTGAGGTTCGTGTAATTTCCATTATATTTTTTTTGTTCCTGATAGAAATGTGCGTAATCTCTGTAAAGATATACATATAATCAAAATCTTGCATATTGCGAACGCGCATACGTAGGTAATACACGCTGCACCAGCCGCTGGACACTTGAGCAGCTCTTCCATATATCCTGCTTGTTTCGCGCCATACATCGTAGTAACTGCATGCAGCGATAGTACGATACGCTTTTGGAAATGCAAAGTGACGAAAGGTGAACCGGATGAGAAACTGCAATACGAATGGTGCGAATGGGAAATGATACGGAAAGATCAGGAATCAACGATCGACATTACAGGTGGGGGGGAGAAGGAGGGGGAGGAGGAGGAGGAGCAGCAGCAGTAGAGTTGTTGTGCAACGATCGACAAGGAAACTTGTCGATCAGAGAGTTATAAAGTTTGATTGTATTTTAGGGCAACCGTTAAATATAAGCGCTGCGTACAGTGGACGTATCGCGTGCGCGTACAAGTACGGAAAATCATTTACGCGACCTACCAAAAACGATCCCGACTCTCGATACGTGAATCTATGCGTCGCTATATACGAATGCGAGAGCACAGGCGGTAGTGAATGGATTTTAGAAGATACTATACACCTGAAGAATATACATTTGCCGAGAATTCCGGTGGATCAGCACTTGGATCTGAGTTATCTGTACGACAGTAGGTTTTTGCAAAAGAAACAGAGGCTCACTCAAGTTTTGCAGACGCTCAGTCACGAAGATGTTAGATCACCGAGAAACGGTGAAAACGGGGAAAGTACAAAGCCAAGCGCAGGTAAGGGTATCGAAGGAAGATTTGTTGATCGTAAATAAATTGCTGTGTGTTGTGAAAGAAAAGGAGGAAGAGGGAACGAGTTGTTGTCTGATTCGAAACGATTGTCCACAGGCTTGTTGGCAGTTCCATCGTTTAGCACGCTTCAATCGCTACGAAAGTCGATCATAGAGAATGGCAACACGTGCCCGCTCACGCAAAAACATTTAGTTCAGTTGGATTGGGTCTCGAAGGAAGATGGTTCTCACATTTTGACCGTAGCCGTTGGATCGAAGATCATGCTGTTCACGCCGGTGTGCTCGGATCTTGCGCAAGCGAACATGAAAGCGATGAAAGAATCGCAGAGCAATAATCGGCCGATATTGCGGAAAGCCTCGTCGCTGGCGCAGCCGCAATTCGTCGACGAGATTCGTTGGATGAAACTGCGAAAAATCGAATTGACTACGGCGGATGGTCTGCCTCCGTTGCCCATGCAAATATCCTGGGTAAGGGATGGGATTTTAGTGGTCGGCATGGACTCTGAGATGCACGTGTACTCGCAATGGAAGCCGAACCCGAAGAAAGATTGTTTCCACTCGAACTTACAGCATCAAGAATCAGACGAGTTTCAAGCTAGTCGAAACTTGCGAGACGAAGATCTACGAACGTTGGCACACGAGACTTCGCAGAGACGGCTGGCGAACGTATCCTCCATGCCCCATCTATCCCGCGTGAGCAGTATTAATTTAACGATGCTCGACGCTAAGAAGAAGCGAGGTATGCAAAACGAGAACTTGAACTTTGACTACATGCCGGACTATGGGCTATTCGAGGCCTCGAGGATCGCTTGTCCCGTTCTGCCCCAATATCATCCGAAACAGCTGATGGAGTTGCTAAACTCTGGGAAAATTCGCTGGGTAAAGTCTATATTGGCGCATCTGGTCAGATGCATAGGGAGTTCTTGTTCGTTAAGGGCGGACGACGAGAGCCTGATGAAGCAACGGGGCGGAGGATGGTCGCGTTCGAGAACGATGTCGGTTAGTTACGTAGGCACAACGTCACCCCTCGAGCCAAGGGGTTCGACCACGCAAATACCGGAGGAGCTTACGCTCGATTACGCGGAAATTACGTCGATATCGCCGTTACCCCTTTGGACCTTGCTGATAGCGGACAAGGAAACGAACGTGCCGCATCAGCACAAAAACACCGATGACAAGCAAGATTACAACGAATTGTTCGACAACAATTTGGACGAAGGTGAGTCGCTGGACGACATGCTGGAAGAGGATTACGATTGTTCGCGGCAGAAAGACAGACGATCGTCTGTACCGGAGAGACAGGGGATATCTCATTTCGGACCGAGACAAGGCAGATTATTGTCGCGATTGCTAACGCATACCCACTTGCCCGGCTTGTCCAGCCTCGACCAGATGCATTTGCTAGCTTTGGCCGACACCGTGTCCACCTGCAACGTTGATTTCGCGGAAAGATTCGCGATCGATGCGGCGAAGAATGCGATCGCGAAGGAGAATTTGACCGGTATTCCTGAAGGAGAGACCATCTCCACGGATTCAGTGGACGATTGTGGACTTCGATTTTTATTGGCCATGAAGCACTACAATTACCTGATTCGTTGTCTTCCACTGGTGCAGAGGGCGCAATTTCAAAAGCAAGGCATATCCTCGAACAACCTCGTCTGGGCGTTTCATTCCGAGTCCGAGGAAGAACTGTTGGGCTTGATACCTTCTTACGCGAAGGGGCAACCGAGGTGGAGCGTTTTGAAGGAACTCGGCATAGGTTGGTGGATCAGAAGCAACACTGTATTGAGAAAATGCGTAGAGAAGATCGCGAAAGCGGCTTATCAACACAAGGAAGACCCTCTCGATGCTGCCCTCTATTACTTGGCCATGAAAAGGAAGAATCTGGTTTGGGGGCTGTTCAGAAATAAGCGAGACGACAGGATGACCACGTTCTTCGCGAACAATTTCACGGAGGATCGATGGAGGAAAGCAGCTATAAAGAATGCCTTCGCTCTACTTGGCAAACAAAGGTTCGAGCATGCTGCGGCATTCTTTCTGCTAGCGGGTGCCCTCAAAGACGCCATCGACGTGTGTCTGAATAAGCTGAACGATGTACAATTAGCGATGGTGATCGCTAGACTCTACGAAGACGACACCACATCTCCGAACCTCAGGAGATTGCTCTACGAAGAAATATTAGGCTGCGACAAGGATGGCCAAAATCAGGATATGAACAAAGCACACCCGGATCCATTTTTACGCAGCATGGCACTATGGATTCTTAAGGACCACGCAGGATCGCTCAACACTTTGCTCCTAACTAACGTTGGAACCCTGCATCCGCAGTATAACGACGAATCTGATAAGCCCGAAGGCTCGACGGGTAATCTTCCTTCTTCGATTAAAGCCAGTTTTTTCACTCCAACAATTCTTTCTCAAGGAAACAACTTCGTTATCGCGTCTTTTTTATTTCCAGCAAATCCAAATGTGTTCAACTTTTACGTTTACCTTCGAACACACCCGTTATTGATCAGACAGTACATCGCATCTACTGCTCAGGAGAAGAAAAAAGGCCATTCGGTGGTTATATCTGGATTCAGTTACGGTACCGAGACGAAATCGCAGCCTGATAAACAACTAACTTTGGAGGATAGTATTACTCCTTTGGAAAGGCAGCTGTACTTCACAACGGCGCATGCACATTTCAAAGCAGGATGTCCAGCTCTTGCACTCGAAGTTCTTTCCAAGCTACCGAACAAAGTGATGGAAACGAATTGCGAAGATTCACCCAGTACGTGATCGTAAATTAATCGTAAATTTATATTTTTACAGCTTTCTCGCATTTCACCGCACCAATATTCCTTCATATTTACCTTCTTATTCATGAACGATAGGTCTGTTAAATAGCCCAAGTAAAGTGAGAACGCAAGATTTTCAAATAGACACCGGAATCATCAGTTGGGACAACAATTCGAAGCAGATAAACGCCGACGAAGGTAGTTCATCTGATTTTATCGCTTATTATTCATCTGATAATTCACCTTGACAAGCGTAAAGAAAGAAACGTATTTCAAATGGTGTGGTTCGTCATTACCGTGTTAGGTATCGTTGACTGGTCTGAACCTATGACGCGGCAAGAGGATGAATTAGTATTAAACTGGGACGACGATGACCCAGTTGAAAACGACGACAGTCCACCCTTAAGCATGAAACTGGATAAGAAAGAAAACACCGATGATGTCAGAGAAACTCAATCAGAGAAAAATGGTAAACCGTTTTACTTCGTCCATTACTCTCTCTCTCCCTCCCTTCCTCCCTCTCCCCCCCCCTCTCTCTCTCTCACTTACTCGCCCAATTCACATCGTTAGAACGAGAGATGGTGAATCGTATTTGTTTAAAAAACGGTGTCTATCTACACACAGGCACACGTACAAAAATATGTGGTGTGGTTTTTTTTTTTTTTTTAGAGAAAACTGCTAAATCGTCCAGTCAGTTAGACATTATGGCGCAACAACTAAAATTCGTGGCCTGTTTGAAAATTTTAATGGAAGAATTGTCAACGTTGGCAACTGGTTTCGAAGTGGACGGAGGTCAACTTCGATACCAACTTTACGTATGGCTGGAGCGAGAGGTGGACGCTCTCAGGCAGCTTTGCAATTACAGCGTCAGTTCCGATGGAGATGTGAACAACGTCTCGGAATGTAAGCATACAACAATTTAGTTAATTTGATTTTAATGGAGAATTTTATCTGCTTGTTCCAATTGGACGCGACGACCAATTCGTTGGGTATTTCAGATGAAGGTGGTATGGTGGATGACGTGCAACCGTGCAAACCTGGTGAACAGCCGACGCTACACGAGATATTGATGGCTGAAAAATTGGATTTCGAAGCGAAAGTGCAACGAGCTGCTAGAAGAAAAAAATGGTTGAAAGGTACATATGTGATGTATATTCCGTTAGGAAGGTGAATCCGCTTCGGTAATTTGAACATATAGAACATTACATTCTGTACGTGTGTGTTTCCAGCAAACGAAACGTTGTTGCGAACATTATTATCCTACTGTTCTCTGCACGGAGCATCCGGTGGTGGTTTGGCATCTGTGAGAATGGAACTTGTCCTTCTATTGCAAGAATTGCAACAAGAGAAGACGCAGCAACAGCTACTCAGTCCTCTTCCATTCCCAACCACGCTACCTCTCCTAAGCGCCAGTGTGGCATGTAACAAAACCGTTGTGGCAGATCCAGTTAGGCACTTGCAGGTTTGTACAATTTACACACCCGAAGCATTTCCGAACATACACGTGTATGTATATCGTAAGCCTGATGAGTTAAATGAAATCTTTTTAGTCCTTAGCCCACGACATGTTGCAGACATTGGTGGAATTGCGTAATCCACCAATGCCTACGAGAAACACGCATTATTGTGAGGTATTTATAATGAGAGATTTAGCGGTGGCTTTGAGCGCTTGTATCTATCAGTCCCTTTGCGATTCCGACACGTTTGTAACGAAGCACCAACAACCATACAGGTAAGTTTGATATATCTGAAAAAGGTGAATAGTTAGCTAATAAACGTTTCCTTTTTTGCTTGCACGCAGTTTTCCAGCAGTTGCTGAAATAGAAACGTTCTCCGGTGGACACTTGGTAGCCTCGAATCGACATCATCGAAGATATTCAACGGACGATGGTGTGTGCATTACTACGTCACCCTCTAAATGGCCAGGCGTGACCAACTTGCGTGCGTTGTTGGCCCGTGAAAAGGACGAGGACACGCCAAAATTGAATATTCTTCTTTGCGAAGCTTTCGTAGCAACTTACATGAGCTTGTTCGTTTACGCAGTCTGGAGCTGTGATAGTCACATTCTATATAGGCTGGTGGGTCAACATTTTGACAGTAACACTTGGTCCTGCCTCTTTGGCGGAGGAGTAAAAAAGTTGCTGCGCGTCGCAAGTACAAGCAGAGAGGTATGCACACGCACGCGCACACAAATCTCTTCTCCTTCGTATGCATAATTCTTGTCGCTTTTTTTACGTATATTTTGTACTTTGCCTCGTCCTCAGTCGGATGGAGCAGTAGCAGGCTTGATAGATAAAGGTGGGGAAGGTGTTGGTTCGAACGAAGCGCAAAGTGCCGCAGGAGCCGTGTGGAGCACTATGACCTCGTTAACTAAACAACGCGTCAAGTTAAATATGAAATTATTGGGCCAGTTTACCGGTCAACAGCCGAATATGAAGGAAGATAAACCTACATACAGGGAGCAATTCGTTTCACCTCAAATGAGCATGATATCGTACTTTTTGATGAAGGTGAGTTTTAACGTTTAGCCGTGAAAGTCATCTCTATTCGAGATGTTATTTAAATATCATTTTAATTGCGTGACCCAGCCACATATAGATAGCGAGTACGCGGACGAAATTGATTACGATTCGTCCGACTCTGCGGTGTCGGATTTAGATTCCTCCGAGGACGGGGAAGATGTATTTGACACCAATGCGAAACCAAAGAATAAACCAAAGGACAATACGGAACATACAAATCCAAACTCGTACAGTTGGTGCGTGATGCGTTTAGCTATAGTGAAGATATTGCAACAGCAGCTTCAGGATTTCTTGAACGTGGCCGGAATAGAGATGCAAGGTATTTCGTTTCAATATTGGACAAAATCACGAATGAAGAATATCTCGTGTGATTTTGCTTTCCAAACTATAAACAAAAAGTACGGATCGTTTTCCTCCTATAAATAATACATCTTTTCCTCCTTTTTTTTGCTCTTTTCGTTTCTTTTCTTTCTCTTTTTTTTTTCTTTCTTTCCTCTTTTCTTTTTTTTTTCGTTTTTTTTTTTTTGTCGCACATATATAGAGTTACCTGTGAATAGTCCTCTGATTCACGGGACGCTAGCCGTGGTGGCAGTGTGGAAAGAAACGTTGCGAGAAGAATTAGACAGCAGGGGTCCACCGCCGATCAATTATATCCCTGGTTGTGCACCAGATCCAATGCCTACACCGGGAAAACCAGCGATTCATAAATACCGGTCTTTGCTCGAAAAGGCTAACACACCGTTCAAGTAAGATTTCGCGAACAGCGCGAGCAATTAGAGAAATTCTAATGTCGGTTGCCTCTCGTGAGAACAATTGAATCGTTATCGTTTGCACGCAGCACGCGCTTGGCATCGGCGGCACCTGCTAATCGACTGTGGTGCTACTTGGTTCGACAAGAATCGGTGCAGGACATCTTTATTCGGGCGGTATTCGGCAAACGTAGATCTCTGTCGTCGATTCTGGATAACAATCAAACCACGATCGATAATTTGAATCGTGGTGGAACGACCGCGGAGGACAAAGGTAGCGATAGTGGAACCACCAGTTTACCCGAACCTGTACGGATTATCCACAAGGAGCAGGATAGCATCAGTGCCTTTTGCCTTAATCAGGTCTGCTCCGTCTGTTTACCTCTACGCTATACTATGAAATAAATAGTTTGGTTTAAGTAATGAATGAAGATATAATCGCAAAATGATCCAGGTGAATCCAGGTTTAATGGCCCTGGCTACTCCCCGAGAAGTACAAGAAATGAATATATCACTGTTGCTCGAACTTCCATCCTGGTTGGAAGATGAATGCGAATTCGACATCATCAATCTGAACAAACAGCCGGAACCGGAACCTGTACAACCAACTAGTTTCTTAGTAATTCAGGTAAACGCGCGAGAACCCCTTAACCTTGCTATTATCTACTCAGATATTTATATAGGATTTGTCTGATGAAAATTTTTGTAATTTTGTTTGCGCGTGTTTTCAGACAGCAGCAGATCGGCCGTTACTCGCTCAGAGTCCACAGACAAATAATCCTCAACCTCAGTTGGGTATCGCTAGTCAAAGTGGAAGAGGGGCAAGTGTGGTAAGTGTGCTCCCTTGAGATCGTAACTAACGAACGTAACTCGCATATTTAAATATCGAGCACTGTACAGTCGTATGTTTGTTCTCTGAAAGGTTTATACTTTTTCGTGTGTCGTGTCCTTACTCACAATCAGACCGAACCCAGATCTTTCTGATATATTATCCGATATTTCATTCTTCCGTGTGTGTGTATATATAGCCATGTGTTCTTCGAAGCGAGAAACCGAAAAAGAGACAACTTTCCAATATTGTAACCTTACGTGTATACTGTAGGAATGTTTGAGTTAAAGAAAAAACAAACCCCACCCCTCCCCCTCTCTTTCCTTCTTTCTCTTTCTCCCTAAAATTCATCAAATGTGTGCTCAACCAGTGAAAAGTCATGTAAAATATTGTCTCGATTGGAAAGGTAAAATACGATGAAAAGGTAACTTGTGAGAAGAAAACATGTTCGAAATTAGATGGAAAATCAGCCTGATAACTTTCTTAAGTTTTTCTTTCGTTTGTGTTCGTACAATGAATATAACTATGAACGCTGCTCACCAACTAAATAAATATAATAGTTGGAGTGTTGTTTGGATGATTTCGTGCAATGCCATTATATCGGTGGTAGTGGTTATACGGTTTAAATACGATGAAATCCTATTACGTTTACGTTTAAGATAGAACAAGCGCAAAGCGCATTTGAGTAAAACGTTGTAAACGCTATTAATTTGATGACAAATTTTCGATCGATTCACGTGACCCGACGTAAATTCAACTTGTAATCGTATCTGTGAAAAATATTCAATTTAAATAGATATAGGTGTTTCCGAGGCACTTGCTCCAAGAGAGATCTGAAAGGATCAAGCAAGCGTTGCATGATATGTAATCGAGTATGCACTATAGATATCACCTTTTGAAACACACGGTTGGAGGATACGACGGCTATCTCGAGGTTTGTTTCCTGCGAAACGTCGTCATGGGAAATGGTATTAATTTTGAAATACATAGAAGGAGGTTAGGAGCTTGCTTACTAGCACTACTTACTAATATTGTAAGTAGTGAAAGAAAAATTGATGAAAGGGAGGGAAAGGAGAATTCGCAGGAGACGGGAAGCCTCGATGGCCGTGGATACGTTGATATATCGAGTAGCCGACGCACTGGGTCGCGTAAAAGTAGCACATCTGGTGACGGAAACAATGTTCCTTGTTCAATGCTTGCCTAACGTCTAACTTGGTTTGCGTCTGACTGACGTCACTGACCTGGTGGCTCGTTCGCTCGCTCAGATGAAGGGGATGCCCGCTTTTCCTGGCTCCCACGACCTGCGTTTCTGTCAATTTGTTGCCGATAGGAGCAAACACTTGTTGCAACCGGTGAGATTAACTTCTAACAGACCACCCTAGCCTGTATATGATACATCCTAGTATCCCTAGCGACGACTTTATATTCCAATTCATTTTCTTCCCCTTTTCGTTTCATTTTTCTTTCTCTTCTCCCCTCCCCAGCCCTTCTCTTCCTTCATTTTTTTTTCACCATTCTTTCTCCTTGTATTATCGTATTATCTCGCTTCTCTTCTCTTTATTTTCCTTCTAATTCCTTTCTTTGTTTTTTTTTTTTTTTACCTAACCTAATTGTTAACAAGCTCCATTTCGTAACATCCTAAGCGCTGTAAATTCGATTCTGTCGTATACCTTTACCGCACATTAAAACAGAATTTAATGTACCGCTTTCGAATAGCTTACCCAAGCTGCCTCGTTTACAAAATGCGGATACGTATTATCGCTTTTGGATCTTACGAACGGGCAATTATTTCGTGCTATGCGAATAATCGTAATAGGATAGAACCCTCACGCGAGTCGTGCGATATACATACTTTGGCAAGGCATGTCGTTATCAGCAGAAACGTATCTTTCATTCTCCTTTCCTAGGTCTTTCAGTTTTACTATCGTTCAAACCATTTAGCGTAGCGATTTCGACATTTCTGCATTGTTGTTGTTGCTGTTGTTGTTATGATTATCATTATCGTGGCTGTTATCACAGCCTATGATTATTCTCATCGTTATCGTGATCACCGTCATTATTATTACCACTTCTTTTTATGAAAGAATTCGTTGAAGTGTATATATGTATGTATGTATATACTTTACCTCGATTTTTCACTTTATCAAATGCTAATACTTTGCGTTTTCTTTCCTTTTTCATCAGATATATTTGATTATGTTCAGTACTGAAACGACAGTGTGAATTAACATTTGGAATTGACACTGTAAATGAGAAAACCTTATTGATACAAATTTTTAATTCCGAAGCTTGTTTCTCGTTAACACTGCATGTCTGATGATAAATGTTCCTTCCTTCTACGAAAAGCTCATTGATAATTTCTTGCCTTTTTATTGCGGTTATGTTTTGAATGTCGTCTGTAGAAACATAGCGTTATTATGCTTTCTGCCCGTTTAATTATGCACACGCACACACAAAGTCGAGCATTTTCGTTCAAAGTCGGAATTGGGTCTGCTAGCTTTCGCTTTAAAGATTAATAATTATTACTCTGGTATGTTTACTTCTGTGTACACGTGTTGATAAAAGCGGGAAAAGTTTGAAACGAGTGTTCGAAAATTAGTGGACCCAGAAAAATATCGAGCATATTCGCCGCCGCCGCCGCCGCTGCTGCTGCCGCCGCCTCGTTAGATTAAGATAAACGAACGTTGTCTTTCAACGGATACAAATCAAGTTCGAATCGAGTGAAACGAGAAATATTGAACAAGTAACGACGAGTATCGTGTGTATTCGCGCGTGAGAACGCGTTTCGTTTCGCACCGATTCATCTCGATACACGTATACGTCCAAAGAGGAGCGATCGTTTAGTCCTTAGGCTTTGGCTTCCCTCTATTGTAAGCGAATTAGCGGTAAAGAAAAAAGAAGCAACATCAAAGAAAGTTGATAGCATGCGTTTATGAAAACGTGTACACACCAAGGCTGATATTGTATTATTCTGTAACACTAGGTTATATACGTACGCGTGCATATACACATACATACATACATACATACATATTAAGTGTAACTCTTCCCCGCTACCCTCTCCTCCGTCATTGTTTTTTTTTTCCTTGTTGTATTCTGATATGTGTGCGCTAAAGTTTACAGAGTTACGTTGATTCCTTTTTCTCGAGGAATATACACACATGTACGTACCGTTTGCGAAATCAACCATTTCGACCAACAATTGCATTGTGCGTCTTGTCTCGATCGAATGTAACGAAACGTGTGTCGCATTTTGTCCCGACAGATCCTGAAGCATAAAATCGACGGCATAAGAAGAATCTCGTCGCATCCACTTCTACCGTTATGTAAGTAAATTGAGCCCCGACTATAGCAATAATGTGCGACGATGAAATTTGAAGTAACAATCGCATTGGTTTTTTCATTAACGTCCCGCTATGCGGCTTGCAAACGAACACGCGCAGACTTGACCGGTTCTCAAGACGGCTCGGTGTCCCTTTGGGAATGGGGACATCAGACGGCCGTAGGGACTCCTAGGCCACCGGGTACATTCGCGAAAGTGACTCGTGTGCGGTTCTCGCAACATGGGAATAAGTTCGGTGTCGCAGACTCTGATGGCAATCTCAGCCTATTTCAAGTTGCCTGCAGAGAAGGAACAGCGCGACCATTCTTCGTAAGACGCTTTTCTCACCTCGAAATGATCTACTTAACCTAACCCGTTGTTCACATCGATGAAATAACAACTTGTACCTCGTCATTTAGAATTATCAGTGTCATAGCAAGGTGACGGCCGATTTTGTCTTCCTTGGTGCATGCAGTTTAATAGCGACCGCCGGTCATGGTTCTGAAGGACGTAACGTAGCGCTTTGGGATACTTTGCTTCCGCAAAATAAGTCTCTCATTCAAGGTACGTCGCCGTCTGGCTTTCTGCGGGCGCGCCAGCTCACCACGAATCGTCTCGTTTCTTCTAGGTTTCACGTGCCATGAGCAAGGAGCCAGCTCGTTGATACTCGCACCTCAGCATCAGCTATTGATCAGCGGAGGAAAGAAGGGTGACATCAACATATTTGACGTTCGACAACGCCAGCAGCGACATCGTTTCCAGGCTCACGAGTCAGCTATTAAATGTTTAGCCCTTGATCCGCACGAAGAATTTTTCGTTAGTGGAGCAGGAGATGGTGATATTAAGGTGACCGAGGAAATATTTGCAAAAGTACAAATATGCAATAGTATTATTATCTTGAATGATTCCATTTTCGATTTTCTTGCCTTCACGATCTAGTTTCTTCAAAAACATTGGACAAGTAAGCTGACTCGTGACCATAAGTCGCTTCGTTGTTAACCTCCGCTATACACTTCTTTTATCCCCAATAATCACGCGACAAAACTATCTTTTACAGGGTGTAACGCAATTACACGTCGATTCTGCTGGTCGTTTATTTTCTTGCGGTGCAGATGGATCTATGAAAGTTCGTCAGCTACCAGAACGCGATTGTGTCGTACACACTTTGTATTAAAATAATCAAGAAGAATGATTCACACAAGTTCTGCTAACGAAATGTTTCATAACAATGCTCATTCGCCTATCGAGCGATTACCAAGTACTACTAAGCGTAATTATTCAATATGCGAATGCGTACTTTCCTTGTTATAACGCTCCTCTTCCTACAAGAGACTATACAAGGAGATTATTGCAGGTGAAGATTTAACGTTAAGGGCGTTGTTGAGTAAGTACATTTTCCTTTTCACCTCGAATTCGGAACAACCGTGAGTACGCGTGAGTGAGAGATGCAGGAGGAAACAGAGTTCCCGAATTATTATACCTATGAATGTATTCTCAAAGTATTAAAAGGAAGAAACGATCGCTGAAACTATTTTCCTTCAGATTTTAATCTTTCGCGTTTTCCTCCTATCGATTTATCGCCGATTTAATTAAATTATATTTTTGCTTGCTTTTACCTTAGCTCACGCCACCCGCGCTAGTTATTCAGATTTTATCGAACGCATTTGCGCGCGTCCAACTGATTCCCAAACGTGTTTTTTTTTTTTTTATTTTACAGTCGCGTCGTTTCGATTCGATTCGATTCGAATAGAGTAACATGCTCTGATTGATTGTTGTGTTGTTCCTTTAGAGAATGTACATTTCTATATTATGAAAGCGTGTAAAGTTAGAGAAATCAGCCAAAACTATTATAGTCGAACTGTTAATAATGAGCATTAAAGATACATACATATATTACCTTGTTTTTACATTCGCGGTCAAGTATTGTGTAATAAACTTTTCGTCACAAAGCGCAATCGTGTTCGTATTTATTTACATTGTGGCGAAGTACATTTTTAAGGGTCTTTCTCTTGTAAAAAAAAAAAAAACTATTTAACACAAATGATGATAAATTATGTAGTACTCGATAAGCATGTATAAATTGACGCATTGAAAATATAGATGAAATGAAACACCTATTTTCCACTGTATCGTGTCATTTCTACATAAATGCAGAATAATAAGGATTAAGGGAAGAATTTATTTTTTCTATCTATATACATATGTGCATATTTAAGTTTTTTTTTTTCTTTCTTTCATCTTTTTGTCCAAAGAGATATATTACAGTACTGTTGTACAATTCGATGTACGGTAGAACTCACTGTTAGATGCTCTTCTACCTACTGCGCAATTAGTACGTTTAATATGTACAGTGTGCTGCAGGTGATAAAATGATTAAATGAAAAATAAATATTGCGATTTTAGTACATTTTTTCCAATTTATTCAAGCTGTGCAATGCTTCTGCAGGCTGTTTTCAACAGTTCTTCAACATAATTGTACGCTAACGATGGAGGTACTTATATATCCGATAGGTAAGAATAACATGTATAAGCCTAAGGGCGACAACGTTCCAAGAAACGTGGATAAAGACACACTTCCCGTATGTGGTATCTATTCAAAAGCCAACATAGAAACCGTTCTAGACCTAATCCGTATCCGCCATGAGGGCAAGTTCCGTACTTTCGCTAGAAAAATTACACGAATCATTAGTGAAATTGTTTTGCAACGATTAATACTTTAAAAACACCAAAATCGATACTTACCTGATCCGTGTACCAATAATATGCCTTTGGATCAATGTCTGATGCAGAATAACCTTTCAACAATTCATCGTAATCCCAAATACGCATCGAACCTCCAACTATCTCACCAACGTTCGGTAAAAGTACATCCACCGACTCTGTCAGACGTTTGTCATCCGCACAACGTTGCATATAGAATGATTTAATTTCTGCTGGAAATTTACACAACATTATCGGTTCATTTATCATATCAGTCATTTTTCTCTCAGGCATTTCTGGAATGTCCTATGAAATTAAAAATTGTTAAATTATTACAATCGTCATTTTCTTTCTTTTCACTTCTCTTTCTACCACACACGTACTTCGCCAAATTCGTAAAACGTCCCATCTTCTTTAGTTATTTTATTAGCTCGAAGGTACTCGATAGCATCGGTGTAAGACATCCTCTTAAACGGTTTCTTTGGTACTTGAAAATCAGGATTCAATTCTTCGACCAGATATCCAAGGGGTGACTTAAGAACACGATCAACCACATCGCATATTAAATCCTCTAAACGATCGAGTAGATCTTCGAATGTGATAAATACACATTCTGCTTCTACATGTGTATATCTAGAAATTAAAACTTCTGTACACAGTTGAGCTGCACGAACTTCTTCTACTACTTCTCAATGTATATTGCATGCATATTTATTAATGCATATTTCAATGCAGATATCGCTAAAAATAAACGGGAAAACATTAGAAATTCTTTCTATTTACTCTGCAAGATGTCTTCGAGTCCTAGATTGCTCTGCTCTGTAAGATTGTTCGATACAATATACATCGCCTAGTGCCGGAATGCAAGTTTCTAAATAAAGCTGCGAGCTTTGAGTCAAATATGCCTCTTCTCTGAAATTTGAAAACGTTAACTTATTAAACGGTCTCACTGAGTGTTCAATATCAAAAGTTATGCTGTTTCAAGGAGCAAGCATGTAATACTTTAACATTCTTACCCAAAGTAATCTAATTTAAATAAAGTCGATCCACCTTCTACCTGTGTTTGTACCAAAGTTGGTGGTGTCACTTCACAGTAACCTTGTTCCCTGTAATAATCTCTAAATGCCTGCAGCAATGTAGACCTTATGATTAATACACGAGATGTCTGAAACAAAGAAATTACAATTTTTTAGATTGTTTAGCTTCTTCAATTATTTTTATCTTATTCATCTAACTGAATCAAAATTTTCCAAAATTCTTTGCATATGTCGATGCATATTCGTTGTCAATTGATGTTGACTTGGTCAAATGAAAAATCTTTTGTATTTTTAATAGAATTGCTATTCTATTAATTTTCGTACATTTTCACCACGAATCATGATGTGTCTGTTGTCTAACTGCACATCGGGAAGGGCCTCTTCGTTTAAAATTGAATCTGCACCACCAGGAGGAGATGCTCCTATTAATCTCCAATAATCAACGTGCAATTCGTGTCCGTTTGGAGCCTAAAAATTAAAACTTAAAGAATTGTGGAAAGCTTTTGTGCATTAATTATACGGTAGTGATGTACAATACGATACATTTTTCCCCTCTGGTACAATCTTGAGAGTTCCAAATACTTCTATAGAAGCTTCCGTGGATAATGTCAATGCATCGTATATCTGACATAAGATATCGCTAAGAACACACTGCAGAAATCCTGTTCCATCTCTCAGTGTAATAAACATAAGTGCTTTACCTGCGACAGCAGAAAGTCGGATTAACATTTACAAACTTAACATTATTAGAAACATATATTACAGAATAATGTACCTTGACGTCTAAGCCTATGAACCCATCCAAATAGCTTTACTCGTTCATCTCGATGGTTCACACTTTCTCGAATTTTTATACGAATTGCGGTTGGCAAGCTACTGTCTTCTTCTATTACAATCGTTTTAGCCTCTTCCAAGTTCTTCAACCTTTTCTCTTCATCCTCCAATAATTTTTTTTGCTTCTCCTCACTCTTATATTGTTCTCTTACCCAAATTTTTTGTACCTTCTTTAACTGAGATTTAGATACTAGCTCATATTTTTTCCCGTTCTCGTTAGAATCTTGACAGATTGGTGGAAACGGTTCCTTGCTTGCATACCGCATTGCTTGTAAAATCGTCTTGAAAGGATTAGATTCAGTACCATCGCCTGTCTCGTCGTTTCCATTCTTCTGCGATGTATAAATTGTATCTATAAAAAAAAAGTGTGAAATTTATTAAATCTGTTGAGTAAAGAAGATACAAGTAATACATGAATTCACAATTGTGTTATGTAGAACTCGTTTACCCGGCAACAGCTGTAAGGGTTCCTTTTCGGTCATCTTTCTTTTTGACAGTAACTGTAATTCTTTTTTCCCTTTATATTGTATAAATGCTGCCGATTTTTCTTAATTTACTAAACATTAAATACGCTGTATATGGTATATTGAAGATGTAATATTCATACAAATTCTTACTTTAAAGATGTTCAACTTGAATGATGCAACGAACAGATTAAGTCGATCACGCTACAACTGATTATAGCGACAGTAGGCTGCAGTCAACAACGTGTAATGACGTGTATGTACTTACGTGTACTTATTTATGTAGGTCTAATTGTTGAGCACAGAAATATGTCAACGTTAAGTCAAAATATCATATCTAACGTCAATAAGATACATTTCGAATTCCATGAAATTATAAATTACCACAGCTTGTATTAACATTTTCCCTATTCTTTATAATAGAGAATTATAATTATAACATTTACATGGCACATACATACTTACTTTCTAACAAAAAGTGCGAAATAAATTAATGTTATTAACACATTGATGATTTTCAATTAGTTGACACTTCATGATCTATGGTTGTTATATTATCAATGGTGGTATTATCTATCTTATGAACACGTTTATCGATGCATGTTTGTACGGGTTTGTTTCACTGATTAACATTTATTTTATAAATATTTCGCATTGGAATAACGTTTCTTGTTCGTCCGAATTGGGAGAAAGATAAAATTTGAAAGATTTAAATAAATGTCAATGAGTCAATAAGTGTACAATTTAAAAGGTAGATTTTTATCTGATATTACTTCATACTTGACTATGATTGTTACGACTCGCTAAATTACGCGACTTGATGATAAATATCATACATTGTATATATAACGCATACATATACACATACACAAACGTATACTAACATTTTGAGTGATATGATGGGATATCATTATAGGATCGATAAAAGCTAAAGGTCGATTGAATTACATACCTTTAGTACTCAGAATGAATAGTTGCAAGTTTTAAAAATCAATTTCTTAAACGATGGCTGGATTGGAAAATTACGGAAGGGTATATCAAGAGAAAAATGGTGATACTTATTTTTATAGACACGAGGTAATCCGTCCGTTGCACGTTAGCAGCGTTATATCTGATGTGGACGATGATAGTTTGCCTTATGAGGGAGGTGAGTTTTGACGAAGCAAAAAGATTTTGACGTAAAGTCTACCGAAACGTATTGAAAGTTTATTATTGTTATAGAGAAAAGAAGATTAGGTTAGAAGACCTAACCTATCCTTAAACTAATGATAAGATCTGACATGGAAAATGTTTCAAAGAATTTTTATATTTCAGATGCCACTGCAAAAACGTTTATGATTGCTGGTTGCGGAGTAGCAACCTTAATTATGGAAACCTTGTTAGTTCATCCTCTAGATGTTTTAAGGAGGCAATGTCAAGTAAATCCTGGATTAAAAAAGTATCACATAATACCAATGACTTTGGTACCTGTAGTCGTGGGTCTTCATCAAACTCAAGGAATAAATACTTTATGGAAAGGAATTGGATCTGTGGTACTTGTAAGAGGGATGTTGTTAGCTATTGAAAATTTCATTTCTAAAGTAACACTGTGGCCAAAGTAAGGTGATCTTTATATGTATGATGCATTCTAATTTTTTCAGTTATAAATTTTATATATCTATATTTTCAGGGAAGTAAGATGCAACAGTTCATTGAAACTATTTGGACAACATATTCTTCTCAAATGGTAATAATATATTAGTATACATAAGTTTCTTATTGTACACGTTATAGAAAAGATTAATAGGAAATATGATAGTATTTCCATAGGTTTGATAACACCATTTTACTCTGCATCATTAGTGGAGACAGTACAATCTGAAATTGCATCAGAGAGTCCTGGAATATTGGACGTCTTTCGAAACGGCGCAATTCGCTTGGTCGAAGTGAACAACAAAGGCAGATTAATTCCTATTTACTCTCTTCTGCCACCAACTGTTTTTTACGTAGTATCGAAATATCTTTTTACTCTAGCTGCACAAGGGATTACTAGTCGCATTATGTATATTAAACAGAAACATTCTCAACAGTTAAGAGTAAGTGTTATCTGTTCATAAAGAATATTTACTTATGAAGAATTCATGATTTATCAGAGGATGTATATCGAATGTTATTTTGTTTGTATCGCATCAAGGGTGCATACAGCAGAGACTTGACAATTGCATCAGACATAGAGCTGCGGTCGGCGTTAATTTCTGCGTCTATTGCGGAAGCATTGTTTTATCCTTGGGAAACAGTGATTCACAGACTTCACCTTCAGGGTACACGTACTATTATTGACAATTTGGATACAGGACGTAGCGTAACGCCATTATTAACAGGATATAGCGGAGTAACTGATTGTTGCAGTACGATCATTTCGACTGAAGGCCCTCTTGGTTTATATAAAGGATTCGGTGCTCTCCTTTTGGAGTTTACCGTAAATTTTGTAATAGCGCGGGTTATTAAACGGATTATGGAGGAATTACGAACAGTATTCGAGCCAAAACCAAAACTGTCAGAACGGCCACCATGGTATAATGCTATGTAAAAGAGAAATAATAATGAGTTATCAACGCGTGTTTAATGGTACACTTTGTGTCTGTAACAATCTGATAGATTACAGTATAATTGTAAAATTTTACTATACTGTATTAATTATTGATTTTTTTTCTTGTTACTGAAGAACCATACCAATAACTTGAGACTTTCAGTAATTGGGAGCATTTTAATTTTGCTCCTGACTTATCACAGAATAAAAATGAATTAAATTTCGAAATTATTGTATGTATATGTAATGTATAAAACTTATATATGTGGGAAATAGAAAAGAATTTGAACATTGCATTAGAGTTTTGTGGAAGCACTACTAAACGAAAATATTCATGATATTAAATTGTGCTATACTGTGATTTTTTTGGAATGATAATTTAATATATATTTATGTACCAGTTTTCACATTTCACTTAAAATACTTACGTTATAAGAATTGAAAACACTGTAAAGATGCAAGTTATGAAATGGTATTTAGATACGGGAATTGTTTCATTAATTTATTATTAAGTTTTAATTCGTTACTAATGAAAAGATAAGTGTATTAATACTCGCGAAACCAATATCACACAGTATTTACTTTCAAAAACATTTGTTTACAATTTTACATGTGTACAACAACTTTTTTTTAACTTGCATCATATATTACACAGCCCTTCATCATTTATACCACGTATGGGCAACCGTTGGCCCGCGGGCCGGATCCGGCCCTAATCTATTTCACCGAAGTTTGCCTTCCATCTTCACATTAAATTGCTATGTCGTTCATTATATTATAAAATTGATGTAGAGCTTTTTAGCATTATATTATAAATAAATGAAATATGAAGTAGCAATTAATATTAATTTATTTTTTTTTGATAATTTGGTCCGGAGACAGAATGATAATTTGGCCCCCGAAAGGTTGCCCATGCCTGATGATATTATGAGTTAGAATCAAATAACTGAGAAACAAATTTGCCACTAATTAATGATGATTACCATTAATTTTCGAAGGTACGTGCAATTTTTAAAATTTCAGTTTACCTTTCCTGTATATTGAAAATTTGTGTTTTATGCATTAATATCAGTACGAGATAATTTCAAATTGAAAATTGGATGGTTGCACAGATTCGAACAAGAGAATTTCAACTTCCGAACGATATATTCGTGTAACCTTTATTGTATAGTTGCAATTCTCTTATGCATTCTCTCATTAGCAACTTTAGTATGGTATATATACACCATATATATATATATATATATATATATACATTGTACAATGCGGTTAAATTAACAGATATCACTAATTTCGTTCTCTATCTGCATAACTGCGTACAGAATAAGCCCAAAAACATTCATGTTATTTTTACATAGTAGTCGAAATATTTCTAATTTCAGTTTAATTATCACTAGATATTGTCACGTTTGTTTTGGACTGTAAACGTATTTTTAATCGATCCACACGTGCTCGCGGTAAAATTTCCATTCTCTTACATAGGCGCAAAAACGCACGCGCGCTATGCTGCACGCGTGCGCGCGCGCGTGTACACACATTTGGTTAAAAACAGTTCAACAACAAACTGTTTGATATCGTCACAAATTGTTTGAACACAATTTTTCTTACATACCACGATTGACTCGATTTATTTACATGTATACTTTCGCAGGATCATATTCTTTGTTCATACAAAGAATAATAATAGTTACAACTTTCATATACGTTTAATCCCCCCTTTTTCATTTTAATGCAATCTATACAACGTATCCTTGTTTCGTTGAAAAACATCGATCATAACAAACGAACATTATTTACGATTTATTTCGAATCGAAAAATATTGTCGCAAAATACAGTTTTGAACGACACTTTTCCCCCAAGAAACCGGTCAAACGTGTGATGTGTTCTTTGTATGAATTATTTGTTAATTGTGTATATGTTGAGCTTGTAACTCCTCCTCCGTGACATCGCCTCTTCTGACGTATTGCGGTTTCTCCTGTCCCTGTACGCATCCTTCGGTAACATGAACGGACATTACGTCGCTACCTGGCACTTCGAACATAGATTCCAAGAGTAACGACTCCATGATAGCTCGAAGTCCTCTTGCGCCAGTCTTCTTTTCCATCGCTAGTGCCGCTATCGCATTTAAAGCTTCTGCGGTGAACGTCAATTCTACCTATAAACAGATAAGCAAACCCGAAATGATCGAGTGATGCATCGGAATTGGAACGAAACGACGGTTGGTGGTTCATTTCATACCTTGTCCATTGAAAATAACATTTGATATTGAGGTACCATGGCGTTTTGCGGCTCGGTCAGTATTCTCACTAGCATATCTCTATCAAGAGTGTGAAACGGTACAAGGACAGGAAATCTGCCAACAAACTCGGGAATCATGCCAAAATCGATTAAGTCCCTCGCTTCGACTTGTTGCAACAGGTGATCCTTCTCTTTGTTATCCCTTTCCGTAGAGGGCGACATATTTGCAACATCTGCTAAATTGGCGGCTCTTCTTCCTGGACTCTCGGATGCGGGTGTTGCACCAAATCCAAGATACTTTTCAGTTTTACGTCGCGAGATCAATCTATCTAGTCCGTTGTAAGCACCGGAAGCAACGAACAAAATATTCGTAGTATCTACTTGCAACGTGTCCCCGCGTAATTTTCTCGAGCTATTTCTTTCGGGTACGTTCACAATCGTACCCTCTAACATTTTTAC